AAATATTTAAGACAACAAAGGTTACGATTTAATCAAAATGAAGCATAGGAAAAATTACTACGTCGCTGACGTTTTTCTGTAATTGAAACCTGTGACCTTATTTTTTTTATATGTCTTTTCTCTTTTCTATTACAGAAAACGTTTCTCTACGATGAGGCCCTTTGGAGCAACAAGGAAACCTTTAACGTTATTGGAGGGAAGACTGGATTTGACGACCATGAAACGAAGTTTCCCACCTACTGGAACACATCCTTCACCAAGATCTGCCTCGGTATGAAGATCAATGACAACCAGCCCAAGTTTATTGTTATCAACCAGCAGGCCAACTCCTTGTACTCTCTGATCGCTGATGGGCAATACCGCAACACCTTGCTGGGTCGTGACACGTGGAAGTCGCTGATTGGTTCTAAAGCCTCCTTGCAGTACAACTGTAACAAGGAAGGGTTCAATGCTGTTGGTGGTAGTAGTGGTCATTCCAAAGCAAGAATTGGTATCATTAGTAACCAGCAAAACAATTGCGCCTCTTGCGACTCTAGAATTGGATTTGGCACTGGTGGATTGCACGACAACAGCAACTCATGTGGAAACGAGGCTACACATGAGTCAGATAATCGCGATAAGCATATTAAGACAATGGGATACATTTTAGTGCAGTAAAAAGAAACTGATCTGGGCTAATTTACTTTTGGCGCCAAACGAAAGCTACCTCATCTAAACTCTACATCAAGTTCGTTTTTTGTGCATAAACAATAGACTATTTATAGATTGAATTAAAGTAAACCATTTCCATTAGAAATTACATACTCGGCTTCGCCTCCAGTTTTTAAACCTCATAATCCACCCTGCTCGTTTTTTAAACAGTACGGAAAACGGTCAAGTTAACCCAGGCGATTTAATTCAACATATGTTATTGTTCATTTTTAATATACATTTAAAAATTAACAATAGTCGATAAATAATATTCAATATAAATTATCTAGGGCTATCAGTCTTAGCTAACTTTGATAACAGAGAGTTTTAGCAACGACGAATGGAACGGCAACGAGAAGGTCTGAAAAAACAGTTGGTTTATTGAGCAAAACAACAAGTTTGCACGTGCATCACGCTTTTGTGTACATTTCTTACTGCACGACTGCGACGTGAAAATGTCTACGTTTTATGGAGGACGTAAACAAGCGACGACGAAATTTTCTTTCTCTATATAAACTTGACTGCGGTCGGTCCCCAAGAAATCAACTCCAGGGAAATTTGCGGCCTACATTAGACATTTTCAGCGAATTGGAATAAACGCGACAAAGTTTGAAAAAAATTTCTATTTATTTTAAAGGTGACGTTTTCGCTGCCGCCGCCGTCGTCGATGCCATTGAGTCCCTAAATGACAGTAAACAATAACTATTAAGTTTTTTTCTCTTTTTTATGCTAATACACAGCTAATACATTGGAATTTGTTGTCTAAAAAGTCCATCATTGTTCCTTTAACCATGGATCCATGCTTCAACTCAATAAACAGTGAATAAATTTAAACAATGTTTTTTTGGCTAAAATTCTGCGTGGTTTGAATTACCCAGAGACTGTATTTATTGAGTATTTGATCAATTTTAGTTACTGGAAAACTCTAAACATCCTGATCTGACCACTATTTTATAAATTATATTATTTCGTATTTTGCAAGAGCGGTGCGAACATCTTGAGAAAGGGTTAAACAGGTTTTAGCTTTGTCCCATTAAATTGGATTTCAACGCTCTTTCCTTTTAACCTGTCTAAGGGACGGACCATTAGAAAAGTTATGGTGGGGATGGGGAATTTTCGAGCCGCAGGAATTTTTTTTCGTTATCAAATTCCTTGTATGAATTTTTTTTAGGCCATGGCATGAATATTTTTTAGGGTTAATTGGCGCGCAGGATTTTTTTTCATTTAATTTTCCCTTGCCCGAATATTTTTTTTTGTACTTCATCCGGAAAAAAAATTGATTTGAGCACAGCGCTATTTTCAGGTCTGAAAAAAACTCACCAACATTTTTCTTTGAATCATTTTTAGAACGTTTTCTAGCAATTTGAACTAACCCGAACCACGCATCCCGTTCTTTTAGCTGGCGAGGAAATTAAAGTTGGGTTCTTGCCACGAGCCGATTTAAATCATAAATTCCGCAGCAGGTGATTCCTTTTAATAATGCGTTAATATTGAGTTTGCTAACAGTCAGGTGGACATAATAACATTGTGCACAATAACCACGTATAAACAAATCCTGATAATAATTTGGTCTTGCGTTTCATTCAATTCTGAAGGGTTTCAATCTGTATCGAAGTCCCAAAAACTTACGTTTTAATTAAGAGACAGTTGATTCTCCCTATTTGGCAAGTTGTCATAGAAAGGTTCCCTTTTTCAATGCAACACACGTACTTAAATAAATATGTAAGACCGTATAAACTACCTTAACAGTGCCGAGTAATGATCGGAAAAACCCACGTAGTCTCTAAAGAGACAGTTAACTAAAGAAAAATAAACTTGTAAGTTGACCATCGAGACAATTTAATTGATATTCCCTTGGCAAGGAAGAAGTAGTCTGATATACAGCCATACTGAAATTGCAGTACAGAAAACTAGCGCCAAAGAGTCTTGGAGCTAAAAAAAAGATTATTTATTTTGGTAACGTCTCCTTTAAGCGCCGGCAATACCCAGGCGACGTTTTTTTGTCGGTCTTGTTTTTATAAGAATGTGTTATTTTTTCCAGAGCCTTGATCGTAGTAACCAATACGTTGGCGTATAAAGAGTATAAAGTGCATGAGGTTTAAAGACTTGTCATTGATTGGCCCTGCCAGACTGAAGCGACGTACCGGACGAAGACATAAATAACAAAACTTTAACTTTGCTTTAAAAACAGAGGTTTTAGAACGACTATCACTCTACAAAACACTGTTTTTGGCACTGTTTTTAGGACAGTTGATTTTCCTTATTTGGCAAGTTGTCATAGGAGGTTCCCTTATGCAACAGATGTACTTAAATATTAGACGCAGTATAAACTAAACATAACTTAACATTGCTAATGATTGAAAAAACCCACATAGTCTCTTATATTGAACAGTATATTCTTCGTACTTGGCAAGTCGTCAAAAAGATCTGTCTATGAAGACTAATAAAGCATAATTTAATTTTTAACTATATTGGTCGAAAAACACATTAAGCACTCCCTAGCACTGAAATAACATTTTGAAGAACATTTTTAAAGGGAACCTATCATTTTTTTCGTTTTTCAAAAGGAATATAGAGAATTACATGTAAATTCTTTTTAAAAAGAAAAGTAATAGCCATATTAAATTGCAGTGCAAAAAACTGTTAAGATATTTTCTAGCGCCAGAGTCTTGGAGCTAAAAAAAATCATTAATTTTGGTAACGTCTCGTTTAAGGGGGCAATACGCAGGCGACGTTTTTTTGTCTTGTTTTTATACGAATGTGTTATTTTTTCCAGAACCTTAATCGTAGTAACCAATACGTTGGCCGTAGAAAGTACATTAGTTGAGGTTTGAAGACTTGTCATTTATTGGCCCTGCCATACTGAAGCGAGGTACCAGACAAAAAAAATTTAAATAACAAACATTTAATATTGCATAAAAAACTGATGGTTTTTAGAACGGCTAGCACTTTGCAAAACGCTGTTTTTGGCAGTGTTTGTCAAGTTCATCCACTGATTTTACGACGTTTGTCAACCGTGAACAGTTTCACCAATCTGAGATGTTCTCTTTATCCTTCTTCCAGCTCCTTCCCTTGTTTTCTGCGATACCCAATGCAGTCTTTGCTCAACTGGAAGGTTGGTGTTTCTTCTCTTTATTGATAGTCTAGTGAAATTGCTCATTCAAAGTATTTTGTTTAAATTAGAGGAAAATCTATGAAGAGGCCAGTTCAGGGAAGATGGAGGCAAACAAGTTTTTCTCATTATAGTATTTTGTCACTAACTAACATGGCTCTTTTTCGGTTTCGCTTGGTTAATTACTTTAAAAATCGCTGAGAATTGCGGCCGGCATGTTAGAGAAATGTATGAAAGTTCCTAAAGTTGTGCTGGGGAGGGAGCTTAAACAACTAGGACAAAAACGAATACTAGTTTTGTGTTGTTTTAAACTCGATCGCGTTTATAAAGTTGAGTTTTTATCGCGATACTTTATTTTGTTTCGGTCAGTTTGTTAAACGCTGATGAACCCTGTAAATTTTCCTGGAGTTGAATTCTTAAGGAGCAAGAGCCATAATGGTGCCAGTTATGGCACGACATTAAAAGTCATAAATAAATAACAGTAGTGGACTGCCATAAAATCTCTAATTTCATGAAGATGATAATTCCCATTTTTCTCCTCCTGACCTCTAGGCTTTACTTTCAGCTAAGGTTTTTGAATTTCAGTTCACATAACGCGTTCAATTTTTAAAGCCATTCTTAAAGTCAGGAACTCCGTAAATTAAAAGATATCTTATATGCACGACCCATGCATTCTAAAAAGGTAAATTTTAAAACCATTCTTTCTTATAAATGATTCTTCAGAATTCACCACCATGTATCATCACAGCCTTCGTCAAGATGTCTTTATAAAGGAAGAGTACCATTATTTAAACTTTCCTAAAGTTGGAACATTTATAGTGTATGACAGCCTTGACTGCACCTTTGAATGCCTCGGCAATCCTTCCTGTTTGTCCTTCAACCTGGCAGCTTACAAAGGAGCAGATGGAAAGTTGCGGTGTGAGTTGTTATCCTCAGAAAAGTACAGCAATCCTGAGGAATATAAAAGGAACGAGAGTTTTCATCACTTTTCCATCAAGGTGGGGTAAAATCTTTGCATAGAGTTTATTAAAGTAAGATATTTTTTGATATCCCAGTCAATGCGATTTTTAATAACCTGTCACGAATACGAATCGACATAAAAGTGACTACTGCAAGATAACAAGTTGGGGTTATTCAGTCGAATGTCACTTTCTCATTTTTTTCTTACTTCTGCAATTTTTAAAGCAAAACAAAATTACCTTACTAAACGGCATTTGACATCAACCTTTTTTTAAAATTATTTTAGACTCCATGTATGTCATCACCATGTCAGAACGGAGGCACCTGTGTAGCGAACTACAAGTATCACTCGTTTGACTGCCGATGCAAAGAAGGGTTTTATGGAGAATTTTGCGAAAAAGGTAATTGATATTCAGACCGGGGCCCCCGTTCAAGTTAGGACAACCAAACTTAGCGGCTTTACCTAACAGTTATCTAGGAAAATTTTAAAGGCGTTGTGACGTGTAAGTCAGCATTGATGTTACCATGGCAACCGAGTTTTGACAGCCATGTTTTTCAAAATTTGTATTTTCTCTAAAAAATAGGTTTGATTTCTTTCTTTTACTGATTGAATTATTACGTTATCTACTTCCTTTTTTTTTCAGTTGCCAAGTCCTCATGCCAAGACGTTTATAATCAGCCCACAGAAAAGTGAGTAAACCTATACATAGTAATTTAATTGATGAGGATATATCAGTTAAGGTCCGGGGGATCATTTGGAGTGCGTCAGTACTGTGTTTAAGAGCCAAAAAATCAGCCGTCAAGCCTCAAAAGCGGAATACAATTTGTGTTGCAGAGAAAGTCAATATCACTTAATTAATTGTTAGAATTTGTATCGTGGCTGATGGCTTCTATTTCAGCCTTTGTTCTCCACTCTGGAAACTTAAGGTTATTAGTAGAGACCTAACTCGTAAAAACTGTTGAATTTTTAAAACAAATGATTGGTACTGTTCAGATAATAAAAACCATAATCTGTGAACACCACCGGACCATCCTTCACTAAAGGCCCTCCGGCAAAAACTGTTGTTGATGAAATACAGTGGAACCCCACCCGCTTTCGCTTAATACGAACACCCGTATAAAACGAATGGTTCGTTTGTACCGACAAAAAGTTCAAATATTTCAGTGCTCATAAGTAAGCCTGGTTAATATGGAAAACGAACACTTTTCTGTGTCCCGAGTTACAAACTTATATATAATAATTATCGTAAACTCTCCCGGGAGGTCCTCAATAAAGTTTTATACGGGGAAGCTCTGCCCTGGGTCTAACTATTTGCAGATTAGGTACTCCTTTCGTATACCATTCCATTCATTTCTAATGGTGGAGGGTTCGAGTGGCTTGCTGCAGGCATTTTATCCGCAGGGGGTACTCAAGAAAGTTTTATACGGGGAAGCCCTGCCCCGAGGTCCATGTCCATACCTTTCCACATACCATGTTTGACAGAACAAGTACTCTTTTCGCATACCATTCCATCCCTTTTGGCGGTTAAGGGGTGGGGTGGCTTGTTACAGGCATTTTATCCCCAGGGGGTACTCAAGAAAGTTTTATACGGGGAAGCCCTGCTCCAAGGTCCATGTCCTTACCTTTCCACATACCATTTTTGACAGAAAAGGTACTCCTCTCGTATTCCATCCCTTTTGGCGGTTGAGGGGTGGAGTGGCTTGTTACAGGCATTTTAAAATTAGCTCAGACAATACAAGGGTCAATGGGAAGAAAGACTGCCTTATCAAAATCAAACTTGCGCGCTATTTTGCAGTTTCTTTTTTTAGTAACAAAATCGTATCAACCCTCAGAAACCTGTAATTATTTGAACAGGGTTCATTGTATGCAGTTAGTACGTGATTGTGACAAGGAAATAGGCAGTGGCAGCCATATAGGTAGCCAGTGGTTACCAGTGTCCATAAAGCGGGATTGACGACATGAGATTTTAAGACTTGGGACCACAGAAAAGTACCCGTTTTCCGTATTAACCGTTGTCGGTATTAAACGGGTTAGAGAAAATATGTGAGCATCAATAAACGTGCAAAACTACTGAGTATCTGTGTAACATAATTCTGAGTAGTTGTCAAAAACAACCAATCCAAGTCTTACAGGTAACTCGCGGGTAAAATAAGGGTTCCTTTGACGTCAGATGGGAAAAACATGATGCGCACCATTTTCGCGGTTTTTAGGTCGCCCCTTTCCCCTTCCTTCTGAACATCTGCTACGCTGTTTAGCCATCTTCGATGTCCGAATTTAATTCCTACAAAACACTTTATTCAAATACACTTTATTAAAGTTAGTTGAAGAGCAGAACAGCTTGGTATCATAAAGCAAAAATAAATATCAACCTGTGCTGGAGGTGAAATTATATCAGTTCAAAGTACATTAATCGTGTAGTATCTCGCAGTAACATGATGGGGAACCTGAGAAATTTAGATTTAACTAAGACTGTATTGAATTCCATTGATTCATTTATTTTTGTAAGAAAAAGCGAACCTTTTTTTTTACAACCAGTTAAGGTACATTCCATTTTTTCTCTCCGACAGTTAGGAGCTGGAAAAACTAAAATGAGATTCATTTTGTACAGGTTGAACGTGACTCAGTTGGTCACTCTCCTCCTTGACTCCAAACTAGTTTCAGTTCTCTGTCACTTTGGAAATTTTGGATGCGGAGATGGAGGATGGACACCGGTCATGAAAATGGACGGCAATAAGGTAAGACATTTGTGTACGTTTTCCCTTAGTTTGGCGAAAAAAATGTGTTATTAATGATTAAATACAGGTTTGTTAGCCGTAATTTTCTGTTAGCCGTAATTTTCAATTATCCTAGCCTGCGAATACAGCCGTTTCTCCTTGCTCCTCGTCGCTAGGGACGTTTCATCAGGAGGAACGTCTGCACCTCAGCGACAGAAATTCCATACTAATGACGTCAAATTGCAAAATTTTCTGGGGGAGCATAACCCCAGCACTCCAGATTTGAGGCGCCTTCGGCGCTCTAACATTTCTTCTCGTGCGTACATGATAAGTCCCTGGATCTGAAAGATTTAAGTATTAAGAACACCTTGTGTTGTTTATTGCGCTTTTCAATACGTGAATAATGTGTGAGTTTAATTCTAGGAAGTCAATCCGTGTTCTAATGAATGACTGTAAAATATAAACCCCACTTGCACGTAGATTCAAAGTTCTCTAACGTGAAATTTGAATGTTGCCACCTCGGAAACAGAATAACTAGTGTATAAAAGATCACAACCAAAGCGTATGCGATCAATCAAAACTTAATTAAGTTCTCAGCCGCTTCTATTCCAGCCCATATTTTAGTTCCTTACAGTAATCATTAACGAGCAACATGAGCATGTTTTGCGTAAAAGTTGCTCGCACTAGGCTAAGGTCGAAATAAAACCCAAGGATGCAACTGGCTGGTAAACTCGTCTGTTCAGCACTTACCTCAAACTACCACCACTGCGTCGTATGTTTCGTCCTGAATACTGTAACTCTTACCTACCACTTGGGTTGAAATTGCTCCTTACTTCGGTCGCGCCGAAAATTCAAGCGTTATCGGAAAGAAGTTACCGGAAATGTTGAAATTTCCCGCCCGTGAAAGCTGTTGTTTCACGTTGATCGTTTTTGCCCATACAAGGCAAGAAACGGTCAAAAATAACAATAAGGAACAATTCCCATTGTTCTCGAATTCAGGTCGCTTTTCTTGATACGTAGGCTTCTGGAATATCTCGGTCAGTAGCAGAGGTCAACCGCCCTTCCTGTCAGACGATGTGAAGGTTTTCATCAAAACACGGAAGCCTGGTCTCTGTACTAGCGAATACGCGAGAGTTAAATTAAGATAATTATATTCAATTCGGCATTTTTCAATCGCATCAATGATTAAAGAGTGCAGTATTTGTTTACTTTTTATTCTATCGGTGACCATTAACGCCATTTCGCCTGCTGTGGCTAATTTCATTTTATAAAGCTGGAGAAGCAAGGACGTTGCAGATATTCTTTTCATTGTAATGGATCTTTCATTGCAAAATCTTTTTTCTTCTTCTCCGGTAAGGATGTTGACTTTAGAAGAAAAACGAAACCTTAATTTTAACTTTTCTTTTTAAAGGACATTTTTTCTATTTCTTCCTTCTTTTTACCATAGCAAACATTTCATTACGAAACAGCCTTTTGGAGCAACAAAGAAACTTTCAACCTTGACGGAGGGAAGACTGGGTTTGACTCACGAGAAACTAAACTGCCCTCCTACTGGAACACTTCCTTCTCCAAGATCTGCCTCGGCATGAAGATCGGCCAAAAGATCAGGTTTATTGTCATCAACAAGCAGGCGAACTCCTTGTACTCTCTGATCGCTGATGGGCAATACCGCAGCACCTCACTGGGTCGTGACAAGTGGAAGTCACTGATTGGTTCTAATGCCTCCTTGCAGTACAACTGTAACAAGGATGGATTCAATGCTGTTTGTGATGATCCTCGCTTTTCCAAAGCAAGAATCGGTATCATTAGTAACCAGGAAGACAATTGCGCCTCTTGTGACTCTAGAATTGGATTTGGTACTGGAGGATATCATGATGATAGCAGCTCATGTGGAAACGAGGCTACAACCGCTCCAGATAATGGCGAAAAGCATATCAAGACAATGGGATATATTTTGGTGCTGTAAGAAGAAACTTATCTGGGTTTATTTACCTTGGTGCCAAACGAAAGCTAGCCTAACTAAACTCTAGATCCTGTTCGTTTATGTGGATAAACAATAGACTATTTCTAGATTGAATTACACTTAACCATAATACATTAGAAATGAAAGACACACTGAGAAACTAAGATTAAAATCATTGGCTAAGTCAGCTTCCATTGCTCCTTATAGTTTGCTGCCCGCAGATAATCTTTGAAGACTGATGTTTGATGTGTACGGCGACGGCAACGAGAACAGCAAAAAAAGCAATGTGTTTAGATTGGCAAAGTAACAACTTTGCACGTGCATCATGCTCTTTTGTACCTCTTTTTTTCCTGAACTTTCATACAGTCCTTGAGTCAACTCCAAAAACAATTGCCATCATTTGACATGGAATACGCGAGATAAGGTTTGAGGCCGTGAGCAAATTCACTTTTTCAGTGACGTTTTCGTTGCCGTCGCCTTCGTTGTTGCTTAAGCTCCCTATTGACAACAACGAGACTACGATCACCCGGCGGACGATCATGCTCAATCCACTTTTAAAATCCATGTTAAAATGACTGCTGAGTTCAAACGGAGGCTTGATTGCCAGTCGCTGTTTGGGAATGAGCCAAAGCTCATCCTCTGAACACATATTAATTAAAACTGTATAGCTTTATTTGGTCTTCATCATTGCCCGGATTCTCCTTTTTAATGTTTTTCTGTCAGTAATAATGACTTAAAAAATATAGATATAATGGTTAAGTGAAAGCATCATGTCTTAAAAGCGACACTTATTAGTTTGTATTATTCTCTTATATTGTAAGGAGAGATTTTCCATGAATTCTTTATTTGCCTCGAATTTCATATATAGCTTTCAAATATTCGCTTTGACGTTGTTCTTAGTAATTCATACTGAATTTGCATAAAGAGGTTTTAGCTCCGCAAAAAGGCTCGTACCATTTTATTGTCCTTTGTTTCTATTGCTTTGTGTTCGCAAGGTAATAATTCTAGAAAAAGCCAACAGTGTTTAAGCTGTCAAAACTATTTGCCACTGACTCTTTTCAACCGGATACGTTTAACTTCAATTGTTGACTTTTAGAAAAAATCATTAGTTTTCAGAATAATGTCCACTAACTTAAGTTTATCTTTTAATTTAAGCTTTCTTTTTATTCTGCACGACCTCAGTTCACATTTGCACCTTTTTACAGATGTACCTCGTTTTAATTGGATAATACTTATATGTATTTGCAAATTTAACGTTCTTTAGTCTGTTGGCTAAATAGTGGCAAAAGATGAGTTTGGAATATGAAAGGTTTTGCTGACTTGCAAATTCGAAATATATTTGTTTTGCTTTTAAATTAGAAAACTAGTAATTAGTCCGCGTTTCTTTCTATTTGAACAGACGCTAGCTGGTCTTGCAATTTCATTCATATTTTGTAAAATACACTGTGCATAAACGCTGTGTTGCTGACCTAGCAAACGCAGCTAGCTTTTGTTCCAGCACTTTTACTTTTTAAAAATAGCAACAATAACACGCTATAACTATCTCTTTTATTTTATTTTTATTTACTTCTATAGTGAATGATTTCTGTTTACATATCTATTGTACTCTTTAGTTTTCAATGGTTATTCAAATCATATATAAGTAAGTTGCTTTGAACTGATTTTTCGATTACGTTGCCCATTACATCGCGGATTTCAGAGCTGAGTACATCGCGGATTACATTTTCTGAGCTAAGTTACGCTATGTGTACAAGTATAAACGCTGTTGGACCAAAGTTCAGTTTGCCTTTGCTGTACCAGTTAGTGGTTTGATACCTCAAGAGAAGTGACGGCTCTTTCCCGCCAGCGAGTTGCAATTGAGTCTAGTTCCCCCCCCCCCCCCCTTAATCGAGAGTTAAAGCGCCGAGTTCCCGTTGAGTGTTCAAATCGTTCAAAAGTGGAAAAACTTTCCGTCACAATATATCCTTACCATACTTATGCTTGTACACTATGAGGAAATAATTATAAATAAATGCTCTACTGTCTCAAATCGTAAAATTACAAAACAAAGCGGTTCGTATTATAAATGATGTTCCTTTTTATTAATGAAATCAATAACTCCACACTACGTCTCCAATGGCCTTTTGAAATTTCTTGATACTGTTAAACTGAACACATGTAAGCTTTTTTTTATTATTTCCACTGTGAAAAGTTTCCTAATATACCTGTTTCACTAGTATCTGGGCTACATAATCACAATTATACCCGCCGTGCATGATCTAATCAAATAGTTATATCCCCATTACGAACTCATCTCAGAAGATTCTCCCCCTGCGTTATTGGAAGATTCTTTTTGCATAGCATTCCGCAATTAATCAGAGACAAACCATCTAAAAAATTGTTTAGAAAACTGACACTTTTACGCTGGTACCTTGCTCAATACTAATGAAACATCATCTCTGTAACAATTCACTGAGCTATTTTATATTTTTCCCATGCTTTGTTATTAAGAACTACAAGGTTTTTGTTGCACGCAACTTTAAGGGGCACAATATTAGTTTTTTTTGACGTGCCGCTCTCCTCTTTTTCCCCGGCTATCTACAATGTGATTTAATTGAAGTGCTGTAATTTTGTCTTGTGCGTTTTCTTTGTTTGTAAATTTTATTTGTCACTTGCTTTTTCACCGTACATGTAAATCTAATTTTGTATTATCTTTTGCTTAGGTTTAAAGCAACAAATAAAATGAAATGAAAAAATATGAAATAATGACTTGGCAGACGCCCCCCTCCCTCCTCAAGAAATCCCCCGAGCAAATAATCGCCTACCTGATGTAAGGCAAATGTGCGGTTTTTTTAAACTATTGCTATGGTTGACGAACACTGTGTGGTCATCAGTGAAGTGCTTACCCAATTTTTGTCACCCATTACTGTTTCTTTGTATTTTTGCCCGCGAATACTAACAGCATTCTCTCTTCCCTCCTCACGGCATTCGCAGGCAAATTGTACCTCAGCAACTGTGAATAAAACCGTTGAATTGTTTATTGTCAAAATGTTATTTCTGACGAATGAGCCCGCGAAGAAGGCAGAAATAAATATTTTGACGGCACGAGATACAACAGGGCCTGGGTACTAGGCCGGGTGCACCATGGGTAGCCATATCGGGGGTATATAAGGCTGCGTATATCACGTGTACGTCATCTAGGCTTACGAACCAACCTCTCTTTGGTTTTTCTTAAATTTTTGTTTTATTTATTTTTAGGAGCAACCTATTCTCGGTTACATTGTTAAGTCCCGTAGGAAGGGCTTTGAGCTTGAGCCTTGGTTCCTACCCAGATTTCCTGCCCCCTTTTATTCCCTTCGGGGTTTTTTTGGGCAGGTTTTTTCTGGCCTCCGTCTGACCGCATTTACTTCAGTTTGTAAGCGGTAGCTCAGCTCTGCTAGTTTTCACCTTTTTCTCGTTTCTTATTTTATATATTTGTGCAGTTATCTCAGTTTTGCACCTGCTCCTTTACTTGATATATTTAGTTTCTATGTATGCTTAGGCCAGCAATCCCGGAACCGCTCTTTAGGAGGCGACATATGTCTCGTAACGCAGTTAGGTTGCAGGCAATGTTACAGACCTCTAGCCAGGGTCGTTATCCATTTGTTTACCCTCAATGTTCTGCGCTAGCCTTTTCTGGCAGCGTTACTGGATATTGGGCTACGTGCCTTGTTGGGTACATTAGTGGAGATAATTCCCAGTTTTCCTGGCCCTCAGCCTCTGTGCTACTGAAGTGTTCCCGGTCCCAGTTATCTGTTGGTCAGAGTTTTATTAAATTTCCCCAGCCTAACTGGCAGCCTAACTGGTACTACGCCTGCGTGCTTATTTGGGGGATTCAGGTCGAGATCGACCAGTTGTAGCAGTTCTTTCTTTTTGCTTAGCCTCTGTGCCCCTACCGTGTTCCATGTGCCAGTTATCCGTTGTCAGAGTTTTATTAATTAGTTTCCCCAGCCTAACTGGCACTAAGCCTGCGTGCTTATTTGGGGGATTCAGGTCGAGATCGACCAGTTGTAGCAGTTCTTTCTTTTTGCTTAGCCTCTGTGCCCCTACCGTGTTCCATGTGCCAGTTATCCGTTGTCAGAGTTTTATTAATTAGTTTCCCCAGCCTAACTGGCACTAAGCCTGCGTGCTTATTTGGGGGATTCAGGTCGAGATCGACCAGTTGTAGCAGTTCTTTCTTTTTGCTTAGCCTCTGTGCCCCTACCGTGTTCCATGTGCCAGTTATCCGTTGTCAGAGTTTTATTAATTAGTTTCCCCAGCCTAACTGGCACTAAGCCTGCGTGCTTATTTGGGCGATTCAGGTCGAGATCGACCAGTTGTAGCAGTTCTTTCTTTTTGCTTAGCCTCTGTGCCCCTACCGTGTTCCATGTGCCAGTTATCCGTTGTCAGAGTTTTATTAATTAGTGTCCCCTGAATAACTGGCAGCCTATCTGGCACTAAGCCTGCGTGCTTAACTGGGGGATTCAGTTCAAGAGCGGCCATTTGTAGCACGAGTTGTTTCTTTTTGTGAAAGCTAGTTTACGAATGTTGTACATTAGGTATTCACCAGTAATCACCTATTATTGTATTTTCATAAGTACTTTGTAGGGTTGGTTCTCGCCAAGCCGTCCCAAAATAAACTTATTTGCCATTACGTTTTGTCTGTTGATGTTGTGTAGTGGAGTCAACATGATTCCTTTTCTTCACACAGGAACTAAAAGGGAGTTTCTCTGATTCACCTACACAAGTAACCACCCCACCCCTCCCTTACTAGGCAAGCTTTTAGTTGTTACGCCAGCTGGTACCTAAAAAAACAAACAACTGAAGGGAGACGCCAGCAGATGACTTAAGGCCATGATGGGTAGAACTGATATTGCAAAAAAGGACATTTCTTGATTCAACCTACTTGAAAGAAAGTGCTCATAACCTAAAAAAAGATTTTTTTCAACTGAACTACATATAACTAGAAGAATCTCTGGGAAAAAATCGATTTGAACACAGCGCTATTTGCAGGTCTCAAAAACTCACCAACAATTTTCTTTGAATCATTTTTAGAACGTTTGCTAAGAAACTTAAGTTTGAAATTTGAACTAACCCGAACCACCCATCCCATTGTTTTAGGTGGTGAGGCAATTAAAGTTGGGTTCTTGCCACGGACTGATTCCAAAGCAGGTGATTCCTTTCACTAATGGGTTAATACTGAGTTTGCTAACAGTCAGATGGACACACTAACCACGTATAAGCAAATCCCGATAAGAATTTGGTCTTGCGTTTCATTCAATTCTGAAGAGTTTCAATTGCATCGAAGTCCCAAAAACTTTAAATAGTTTTAATATAGACAGTTGATTCTCCGGATCTTGTTTACTGTGGGTAATGTCGACCGAGATATCGGTCGACATAGCGGTCGACTGTCGGTCGATATAGCGGTCGACACTCTGTCGATAGTCGGTCGACAGTCGGTCGATACTCGGTCGACAGTCGGTCGATACTCGGTCGACACTCGGTCGACAGTCGGTCGATATAGCGGTCGATAGTCGGTCGATAGTGGGTCGACACTCGGTCGAGACACGGTCGATAGTCGTTCCAGATGTGTCTCGGCCGATATAGCTTTTCGTTCACCGACACTTCGCCGACTTTTCGCCGACACTTCGCCGACATTTCGCCGACACTTCGCCGATACTTCGCCGATAGTTGGTCGATAGTTGGTCGATACTTGACCGATGTATCGGTCAGTAATTGGTCGACACTCGGTCGATGGTCGGTCGACACTTAGCATTTCCTACATTTTTTGGCTTGGAAAACAAGAAATTAGAAAGCATTTTCTAGCTTGGACCTAACTGTTTTTTTAAATTGTTTTTCTGCTTTTTTAATTTCAAACTTCAATGTACTTAGCCAAAATTCCGGAATAATAGCTATTAGTCATTTATCTAGCCTTTTCTTTTAATTCATGTGAACGGGATTTAGCCTATCTGTATCGATGCCCACCACCTTTTCGCAGACGTTTCCTCCCCTCGTTTTCTTTTTTTTAGGGGTGGGGGTGTCTCGCTACGCGTAGCCGGCTAGAATTGAATCATGAAGAAGTCCGCTAAGTGAGAATCATAGGCCTTCAGCTTCTTGTTATGTGATTTATTCCCACCGTGTAAGGCCTATATCTGGCTAAAAAAATGTATTTACTGTTTTTCCTTAACAAGTTAAGATAATATCAATGTTAACAGGGCGCATACTGTTTTCTTTTTAATGGATGACCAAAAGTGACTTACCATTCAATATTAATTTCTGTATACGCATGGTCGTCTTTATTTTGAACACAATATAAATATAAAGCGAAAGGACAGAGCAAAAGGACAGGATAATGTAATGAAAACGTATGAGTATTTTCCTTGCTGTAAATTGAAATCATTCACACAATAAATGAATGTGTTCAGTCTGCTGGATATTTTTGACACCTTCCTCGACGCATTATCACCGCGTTTTATCAATAACTGATCGTTAAACAAAGGACTGTTCCTGTCTTCAATGCAGAAATATATAAGTTTAATTTGTGGTCTCTGCACAAACGATAACTTGGCGTGATGAAGCAGGTCAAAGCCCGATAATAAAAGATGTGTCTTCCTCGCTCTTAAAGCATGTCATGAGCTGCCTTTTCCTATACATTATTCGTCCACGTCGGGACTGCGGGAGCTGTTATTTCACTCGTCCTTATTAAGTATTCTTCGACTGCGAGACTACAGGAGCAGCAAAATCAACTTAGGCTGAGACAGGTTCTGTTTAACAGCTAAAACTCAGACGATCGGTGATGATACAAACTGGAAAAAAAAAGGTTATCATGTCCTTAGTTCCCAATGCTCTTCGGTTCGCTTCACAGAGTAATCGCGCCTCGCACTGCCACATGTTCCCCCATCGCATGATAACAGTAATTAATGACATCTTTGCTTTAAAAAAGAGCCATTGGACTCACCTGATAAATTAACACACGACCGATATTCGAACGACAGTTGACCGATATACCACCGACAGTTGACCGATATACCACCGACAGTTCACCGATATACCACCGACAGTTTACCGATATATCACCAACATATGACCGGTAGTAAGTCGAGGTGCGTCGTCGAAATATCGACCGATACTCGGCCGATAGTCTATCTCACTATCGACCGACTATCGACCGACTGTCGACCGCTATATCGACCGCTATGTCGACCGATATCTCAGTCGACATTACCTACAGTAAACAAGATCCGATTCTCCTTATTTTGCAAGCTGTCATAGAAAGGTTCCCTTTGTATTGATGCAACAGCCATACTTAAATAAATATTTAAGACTGTATAAACTAGACATAACTTAACAGTGCTAATGATCGAAAAAACCCACGTAGTCTCTAAAGCCTTACTGAACAGTATATTCTTCTTATTTGGCAAGTCGTCAAAAAGCTACTGTTGTTAAAGACTAATAATTAACGCATAATTTAAATTTTAACTGTATTGGTCGAAAAACCCATTAAGCACTCCCGAGCATTAAAATAACATATTCAAGAACTTTATTTTAAGTAAAGCTAAAGGGAACCCATCATTTTTTCGCTTTTCAAAAGGAATATAGAGGATTCGATGTAAATTCTTTTTGAAAGAAAAGCAATGGTTGTAGTTAGATTTTTGGACGCACAAAAAACGATTTTGCGATGGCTGCTGATTGGCACTTTTATTCAGACCGGTGACGTCATTGATGGTAGAATAACGCATTTACGAAAAGACTAAACATAAAGTCTTTTCTGAAAATATAACTTTCCTTCCACCCCAAATCACCCTAAAAAAAATTTGCTGAGTCAGTCTCAGTTTTATGCTTTTTATGTTGTATGTCAACAGTTAACTAAAGAAAAATAAACTTATAAGTTGACGCTCGAGACATTTTAATTAATATAACCTTATTAAAGAAGAAGTAGTTTGATATAAAGCCATATTGAATTGCAGTGCAGAAAACAGTAAAGATATTTTCTAACGCCAAAGAGTCTTGGAGCTAAAAAAAATCATCAATTTTGGTAACGTCTCCTTTAAGGAGGCAATACCCAGGCGACGTTTTTAATGTCTTGTTTTTATAAGAATGTGTTATTTTTTTCCAGAGCCTTTATCGTAATAACCAATACGTTGGCCGTATAAATTGCATTGGTTGAGGTTTCAAGACTTGTCATCAAATGGCCCTCCCAGACTGCAGCGAGGTACCAGACAAAGAAAATCATAGATAATAAACATTTAATATTGCTTAGAAAACTGAAGGTTTTTAGGATGGCTATCACTTCACAGGACACTGCTTTTGGCGGTGTTTATCAAGTTCATCCACTAACCAATACGTTGGCGTATAGGCGAATCTTTGCTGACGTCATTGTTTACATTTTTCCTAATTAGCATACGACTTAACTCATAGAAGCCGTGGCCGTATATATGAATTAAATGCAAAAGTCGAAAGAGCTGATAAAGTTGGGCAATTTGTGCAATTTTCAGCTCTTTGCGAGCAATATTGAAGGAAATATCAGTCATCAAAAACTGCGAAATTGCTGTGTGGCAAAAAAGTTAATTAGCCATACATTCTCTGTAAAATTTCGAGTTTTTAGAAGAGAGTTTCTCCGAAACCATTCAGTGAATTGGGCTCAAATTTTCAGAGATAACTGAAACTGTTATGCCCTTTCAATATTCAGAGTTTTTATTTTATTAGCGTCATCAGACAGTGATAAGCATATTTTAATGAGGCAAAAAGTGTAAACAAAGATTCGCCCATACAGTGCACTGCGTTAGGTTTCAAGACTTGTCATTAATTGGTCCTGCCAGAATACTAAAGCGACATGACAGACAAACAAAGTCATGAATAACCACATTTCATATTGTACAAAAAAAACTGGTGTTTTTTAGAACGGCTATCACTTTACAAAACACTGTTTTTGCACTGTTTTTAGGACTGTTGATTTTCAGCTAATGCACCAATTATTCGGTGCCATCTTGGTCTGTTCGCTGCCCTTGAAGTTGCTGAGTTTACAGAAGTTAGAGTAAAGTGATATTCTTTGGTATTTTACGTATTAAGCTAAATTTTTCATTTCCCCTTTCTCATTTCCCTATGCACCTTTATGAAAAAAAGCTTGTTATTTCTCCTGCAGCAAAGCCAGAGGTGGAAGAAAATATCGCCGTGTCTGTTTCTATTTTTTATGGCTTTTCATTGGTCAAAAATCTGAGAGACGCAAATAAATTATCGATATACAGAAGCAGCTGCTTGTTGTTTGCCGCCATAACGGCGTTAACACCATAGTTGGTACAACAAAGTGGAGTGAAGATTTCTGCCACAGTAGAAAGAAAAGACATTTTATTCAAACGTTCAAAGTGCTTTAGTCGTTATGTTTCTTGTTCTTATCGTCTTGTGGACTTCGATGACGCCATTCTGTGTAATTCAAGGGCAATTCTGCAGTGGAGGTAAGCCTTGTTTGTGCGGTGTACTTGCTAAACAGGGAACATCTTATATTCGCGAAAACCGTTTTTATCTAGGGATAAAAGAAAAGGATAAAACATGAAATTAATGGAAAACAATTTAATGATGATTTACATTAATTTCGTCTGTTCGCAAGGTTCATTATATTGTCTTAAATAGACCCTGCCACGGTTCAGCTTTTTTCAAGTTTTAGTAAAGACCAGTTAGCGAATATCCATTGATACTGCTGGAAATAGAGCCTTAACATTAGGAACTTGTTTACCAGGTTTAAATGTGATACGTTAAAAGAGAGCGAAGATATTTCTCTTCAATGTCGCTAAATGTTACAAACGAACTTGCCCCCATCATACATTAACGTCTGCAAAATTCGGCGACTATGCAGAGCTATGTCTTCGTTAGTTTTCGATAAGTTACGTTCAAACTAGGCAACGTACTTTGTTGATTTTAAGGCGCGTTCTTTCCAGTCGAACAAAGAAAGGGTGATAACAAACAATAAAGTTATTCATCATTCAACTTCACTCAGTAGAGTACAAATAGCGCTACGTTGTCCATTTTAGTCATTGAAGTGATATTGACAACTTTTGTTTGAGTCAACATGAGTTGTCTTTAAAAGATATCAACCACATAATCACGATTATAGCGGAGCTCTGGCGCAGCGGAGCACCTTGAGTAAGAAAATTTGGTAAACTATCCATCAGAGAAAATTTGGTCATGGCGTCACCGTACACCTGCGCGTACGTACGTTCTTTGGGGGCGGGGGAAGAGAGTTTTGAATCAGCCCGAATCGGGTAGGACCCTCCGTCCGCACCACAGGGAAATCATATTTTATCTCACACTTACTAGCTAGTTTGGGAACCTGCTACTTGATATTGAAAATCCATGTTGTGATCAATTGACAGCTGTCAAAACAGGGCATCCGCTGACCAGCATCACCTGACTCTGTATCGCGGGCTCAGCGGTCCACCCATTGAGGTCAAGTATTTTTGAAGTAATCCGCTGACAAGTTACTAGTTTTCAAGTGATCGCAGACTTAAGTTCAATTTTTTTTAATTCATATGAAATTTGTTGTGTTAATATGTTGTGTTAATGTGCGGCACTATAAAATTTTGATTTCAAACTGACCTCGGACGCGAAAATTCAGCTAGCTATTACAGGCAGGGAAGACAGTTGCCTTTGACTTTTGTCACCATGGTAATGCGTTAGTCATGCTCTACGTCCAATTTTTATGCTCTGATTGGTCAAAATTTGACAGGTGAGTTCATGCAGGTTTTTGGTTGAGAAATGCGTCGCTTGTCAAAGTCGGAAATCCGATTTCGGATGGCATAGTTTTCGTTTTTCACCTCGCTTGATGAGTAAGAGTGTTGAAATCTCTCAAGCGATTCTGGCCTTCTTGAATGGTAAACTTGAGTAATTATATATTTGGTGTTTGTTTTTTCTTTATCTAATTTCGTGAAGTCGAGCGTAGTTAATTATGCGGCTAATTTGCACGTTTGTAAGATTTAAGACAATGATCTGACTTAGTATCAGCTTTGATATAAGCTTACAGAAGCTTTAGACATTTTCCCACTGCAAATAGAAATAAACCGTTCCGAAGAATATTAAGTTATAATTTTGGCTGTAAAAAGAAAGCTTTGAGCGATTTTCTTGCCTCGAGTTCATCTTTGAAAAAAGCAAACAGCGGGAAGCCGGCTTAAAACATAAACTCAAGCTTAACCCTTGAAGGCTCAGGATTTTTAGAGCCACTTTAATACTTACAACTCTTCGTGAATGAAAATTGTTGTCTCGTTAAATGTTTCACCAAATTTCATTTTTTTTTTATTGACTGTTAGTAGTCTCTCTTGCAATTTTAATCGCTGTGCCGTTTGTTTTTAGTCGTTCATGAACATCGCTTTCAGGAGTACTCAAAATGCTGCGCGTGTCAAACGCTCAGTTTAACGTACACATGGTTATAAAACCATTAAATAAAAAATAAACATAATAAGTTCTTTATTATGTTGAAACGTAACTCTATTAATGCGCAAACATTTGACAGCTCACACTGCAAATTAAACTTGGCGCTTATCAAAAGTGGGAACCGGCTGGTCGTATAGGTGATTTCGAAATAATTTTTTGAACGGCTTCGCTAAAAGCCCACGCGTACTTCGATCGTCCTGAATATTAAATAGGTGCAATTTGTCTTGCAAAATTGTGAAATACGTTACTGCATTCTGTCCGAGGTCTGTATGGTAAAAACAGCGCCTCCTAGTATACTGTTTCACCTCAGATGTGATCTATAAAAAGTATAGAAGGCTGGTAACACGCCATCAGATTTGTTGGCAAGATTTTAGAGTAAACTGCCAAACGCAGAAAAATTGGGCCTGATTTGTTTTCCAAGAATTTGTTTTTCAGGCCTATTCCACTGTGATCAAGGCTCTTAAATGCAATCGAAGATTGTTGCTATTTTTTTGGGTGTACATATAAGGCTATTAACTCGATGTGAGATTTGTTTCACCCTTCAATTATTATTCTCTAAACTCGCTTAGCCTTTCCCTCAAACGTCACATGAAAGGTGTCCTGGAGTTAACTTATTTGTGGATTACAAGTTTTTGTTTGATTTAAGTTACAAATTTATTAGTGAGAGCTTCGCTTTTAACCCTGGCTAAATCTATATATTACTCAGTTAAAAACTGGCATTGGAATCTTTTCTGATATTGCCGGCACTGTCATGACCTACTTCCGACTAAATACTTTTTGGCTACCATGCAACTTGGAGTGCTGTGGGAAAAATTAACGATACTGCTTGTTTTTCTCTTTGAAGTTTAATTTCCTTCTTTGGGCATAAGGTTGTTTCGTTGGGACTGAGTGAAGTTTCCTTCGAGTGGTTTGTTGCTTGGGATTATTTTGATATTCGTTAAAGGCTGAAAAAGTAAGTTGTGAATTGAATGCCTGGAGAAAGATCTCCTCATATACAATAGGTTGTGTATTGAACGACAACCTTTTTTCAGCGGTCATTGCATTTAACTTTTCCTTAATTCTCTCAGACACCTGTCGCCAGCTAGAGTTCGACCACACTTTTGATGGAAGGCGCTTCAAAAATCACGTTATTCGTACTGTTGACGTCGCTGGGGAAAGATCCTGCCGGACTTTGTGCTACATGGAACCAAACTGCGTCAGTTACAACTTTAACAAAGTCACAAGGAAATGTGAGCTGAATAATTCCACTTTAAAAGAAGGGAAAGAAAAGATGGAGACAAATCCAGATTATATATACTGTGAAGCTAGGGTATGAGAGCTTTTATCCCAGTATACAGTGTACGGATAGGGAAAAGTTACAATCTCAAACTCATTTTCAAATAATATCTGGTTAAGGGAAATAAGCTTACAGTCAGGGTACCCATTAAGGGAGTATTAAGCAAGCAAGCATATATGCCTTTACAAAATTAATGAAATTCATACATACACGAACATTTTTTTTTTTAACAACGGTACACTTTTTTATCAAAGCGAAATACACAGTGTCATCTTCTGACAGAGTCTATAGAGAGTGAAATTAACCCCTAAGATTAGGGAGCTTTTCAAAGGTCAGAACAGGCCGGCCGCCCCGGTCATATTGAAAATGAAATATTCGTTTCTCGAAATTTTTACTAAAACTCATCATAGCCGTGCAAACCATTTAGAAATAAACTGATCGGGCTGGATAGTCCTGATTAGTAGTGGAATTCTCCTCATGAGTGGACTGGTACATTTATTACACGTACATACTGACTAAAAACATCCCCTGTTCGCATATAGCTTGGCTATATATTTGCGGCAGTCAGAGGATAACATTATAAAGTAATTCACTACGAAGGAATTACTCAAGTAGATTAAGGCCTGGGTCATAACAGAGTTTTCAGAATTTTTAAAGGGCGTAGTATAACGTAAAGTATTTTCAAGATATCCCATGACTAGCAATTTAAGGCCAATCATAACCAAGAAATCTTCCAGTTTCATCTTAAAAATTGTTTATAACTGCATCATGTGACTAGCCACGCCCTGTTTTACCAAGAAATCCTTTGAGTTGAAATTCCCATCAGAAAGAGAGTAAACCGTTTTCGTTCAGTAGGTTCAAAAAGTGGCTACTAATAGTCTTCATGTAAAAACAATCGGAAAGAGACGAGGTTAATAAACGTCTTTCTCCCGTCGATGTCGAAGTCAGAGAACACTAATTGCACCCGCCAACTGTAATGCTTCGAACCATTCCGAGCTGATTTCGAAGACACTTTGTAAAGACAATGTTCTTATACAGAGAAACTGGAGCTACTTGTTTGGCAACTTGTGGGAATCGATGGTTACAATTTTCGAACAATTGAGGGCGTGGTCGATCACGTGACCAAATAATTGAAATTTATTTTTTCAAGTTTTCTTAAGTTTAGTTTACTTTACGATATATCGTCCGACGTGAATGTCTTTAACCATAGTTTTTGGAAACTGTACATAAAAATTATAAATGACTTAGACCCAGGCCTTAATCTACCTGAGTAAGAAAAGGAGCATTAAGGAATGCCTTTTTTCTTGTCTCTTACCAGAATGCCTGTGGGAATAAACCTTGCAACAACAAAGCAACCTGTCAAACTGGTTTTACCGGAAAAGGATACCGGTGTTTGTGTACTGTTGGATTTGAAGGGGAGCATTGCGAGAACGGTAATTTAATCCGGCATGTTTTCCTGCTAGAATTTGCTGCCGCACCAAATGATCTTTTCCCTTAAGACAACAACAAATTTATTGCACATGGAAAAGTTTATAACTAATAAATTAAAGTAAACTGAAAAGGAATAGGGAAAAAATTCACACAACCCTCAGTTAGCTTAAGTTAATCAAGGCGGGAGGCGAAGTGGACAAGAAACAAAAATAAGAAAAAAATATATATTATATATAAAAATGAAAGACATAATATATTCGCTGTTTCAACCGATTTTTGCCACATATCCCGGCGTTTACGAGTTTCATTCAGTTTTACTCGTTCTTATAGCGTGGTTACTTTGAACGAAAGTAAAAATAAAATAAAATACTTACAGTGCGTCCACACGAACCGAGACCACCCAGAAAATTGAAATTAGCCAATCACAAGTCGAGATCTAAAAAATGAAATTGCGCATAATTGTACAATTTTTTTAAAGGATGTAAAAAAGAGGAATAGAGAGTACGATGTTTTGACATCGGCCGGGTTTGGCCAGAATCAAAGTCAGCAGTAAAGAAATTTTGAACAATCCGCAGTTAAGGCGACAGCCACTCATTTCATGGCAAACGGCGCTCAGCACTGAGTAAATCGCAGCCCTGGGGCCCGTTTCTCGAAAGTTCCTATAACCAACGGGGCCGGTAAGCTGTTGCCGTTTACATTAAGATCGAGGTTTTAATAGTTTTGCATCGAACATGATAAAACTATCAGTTAATGCATGAGACAAAATGGAGGTGTTTGCTAGCCAGGACCCACGCTTTTATTCTTTATATTTCGATTTCAGTATTTCATCTCAAGCCCGAAAAGTTACCAGGACTTTCGAGAAACGGCCCCCTGGTTATTAAAAAGATATGGGCTAGGTTAATGCAAATTACAATATGCAACAAAACTGAGAATGACTATAGACCTCTCAAGAATAGCGAAGGAAATCGCCATGGTTAGTGGAATTTTTGTCGAGGGAAGGAGGCAGACGTTGTTTTATTCTTGGAAGTGACAAAAATACGAAAGATCTGAAAAAATCTTCGAAGCCAACTAGTCGATGATTGCCCCAAACTATAGTAAGCAACGAAGAAACAAACAAAACGTATCAAAATCCACCAATCACAAATCATGACCTTTTGAACCCGTTCAAGTGAACATATGTTTCCTAAGAGGTCCGCTAGATGATTGACAGAACAAACACAAATTCCTGCGAATAATAAAAACGATGTTTGGTGAGCGGCCAACCCAGGCGTTGTCAAAACATTTTTCAGCATGATTTACACAAACATCATGATTCTTTATTTATATCCATTAGAAAACTGGTTCGCAACGTATTTTGAACTGGCTCTGAGTACGAAATTATGCGCAATTTCATTGTCTTGATTTCGAAAACACTTATGATTGGCTAATTTCAAAATTTGACTCATTTTTCATGTCTGGTTGGCCTCAGTTCGTGTGGTCGCACTGTAATAAATATGATTTTAGTGACCTTTAACGGCCGGGCTCTTCGCCTACCACATTCCAGATCGACTTGGAATTTAAAAATGTTTGTATTTCGGTAAGGAGAGAGGAAAGGACTGACCTGACCTAAGGGAGTAAACGGAGAAAACCTCTCGGGTAAGGGCGAGAAATAACAACAAACTTAGACACATATGGGATTGCTTATTAAAGAAGCTACAGCTGCACCTATTTATTTTAAGTAGGCTCCTATCTTAGACACCTGAAAGTGAAACAGTACCACTGTCTCCCTTGGCCTCCTTTTAACAAGACCGGGGGGCTCTTTAAATATGTCTTATGATACAAACACTTCTGTTAGTTTTTAAGTAGCTAGTGAGGTTGGCCTTTGAAGCTTTATTATGAAGTCGATATGAAAACAAAATCTTTGTCCAGTAAAACTGACTTGACGGGTTAAAGCATTGATTGGTGTATTCACTTTGATTCCTGAAAAAAAAGTTAACTTTGAACAGGATCAGCTCTGGGAAAAAGAGGCAAAAAGCGCAAGCAGATCGGGGCGGAAGAAAAGAGGCAAGAAGGGAGGGGGCGCGTCCTTTATCAAGAGGGTTCTGTGGGTCCAATTTTCTTGTGGGTACGTTTAAAAGTCCAATGGGATGTTGCCATTTTCAACCTGAGTCCTCTGCCTTCGTATTTGTCTACATCAAAAGATTTCAGCCAACCATTCAGTTCTCGTGAGTAATTCGTTTGATAAATATAACCATGGATTGACCATAAACTGTTTTATAGACATTGACGAATGTGCAAAAAATACCCACGAGTGCGGTGCCAATGCTTACTGCAGTAATGCCAAGGGAGGATACAACTGCACTTGTCATCCGGGTTATTATGGAGATGGAAAGAATTGTGAACCAGGTAAGTTGGCAGATAGAGAAGTTTCGAGAGAGTGACGAGAGTGATGACGCGGAGAGTGGTGACGAGAGTGTCATGCTCCTTCAAAAATGTTGTTTTGTTCATAAAAGAATTTGTCTTTTCGACGTTCTCGAGGCCTGGTTGCATGCTTAAGACCTATTTTCCTTCTTAGTAAACGGGACTCCGTTTTGAATAGTATAGGAAAAAACTGAAACTGGCGTTACGTTGTGGTCGGAGCAATTTGGCCAGCATAAGATCGGCTAAATTACTCGGGCGCAAAGCTTTTTCAAATTAAGGAGTAAACATTTTACGAATTCAAAAAAGAAAATATTTTTCCTTTAAGTAGTTATTTAAAACATCCTTGCCCATGTTTCTTCTTACTGGTGAATGTAATCCCTACAAAATAAAACAGCTAAGACGTTTTACCGCGGTGACTACAACTCGCACGTTAACAACTCTATTCATATCTGACTTTCTCTTATTTTGTTACACAGTTTCATCATGCAAAGACCTTTTTAACAAGACGATGTGAGTAAAAACAACTACCGTAAAATTCCGAAAATAAGCCCCTCCAAATACAAGGCCCCCTAACCGGTAACGAAAAAAACCCTCCGTTAAATCGCCCCTTTAAATATAAGCCCCCTTAGGGGCTTGTATTTGAAAAATTGCCCTCAAATACAAAGTAAAGAAAAGCAAAAACGGTAAATTTACTTCCAACCATAAGGCTAGCCCAATCGATTTTGAAACGCAAATTTTACGGTACTTTAATTTTTCGGACCATCAAAATCTCGAAATTTGTCGGCTGTCAATTGAGAATGAGGCTTTGTTGGAGAATAAAAAAAAAAGAAAACACCTTAAGGTTCTGGAATGAATAATGCATTCCTTTTGCTAAATTATTCCCCGAAGCCTGGGAGACAAGTATGAGTTTTAATATCCTATTGGCAGTTGTCAAAATGGGGCATCTCCAAGTGACCTGCCTGTATCACAGGTTAGTCTCATACACAGCCGTTCTCTTTGGCGAAGGGCACAAGGAGGCTGGTCTCCAGGTGGCCTAGTAACTAGGCTTTTATAGATTTTGCTAGGATGATTTTTAGGATAATTTGAGAAAAATAGCATAACTTTCCCATTTTTTAAAACGTAGCACTGCTATAGCATAATTCGCATATTTTGATAATTATCGGAACATTTTTGGGTTTTGACAGGCACGTTGATTTTCAAATCCCAGTTAGACCCTGACGTTGTTCTATGTTTTAGCGGTATTAGCAGTTTCCTGAGCACGGAAATGGGACCTGGGACTAGGGTGTACGGGAAACGGAAGTCCCATGGCAAACCATGTCGGTCCCAATACCTCTCATAGGCAAAGCTACAAAATGGCGTCAGCTATGCTAGCCGATTCGAGCGAAAACTTACAGCTCTCTCAGAGAAATGATGGGCCAGAACCAGCCACAATTGCCAGAGACCGTTATATATTATAGCTAACAAGAATAAACGGCTTCTGATTAAAGAAAATGCAGTTTTGGACTTATTTGCCATGGTTTTTGAAGAGCACAATTTAAAAAAAAAGTAGCATACTTTGGAAAAATGAGCATAATTTTAGCATAATTTGGCCAAAAAAGGGCAGTGCTACTGGCATAATATACTACTTTTACTAGCACAATCTATAAAAGCCTACCAGTAACTGGCGATCAGGGGTTGAATTATAGATTATCGTCCAGCAGTAGCGAGCTAAGCAACGAGAACGCTGACGCCCGGGACTTCATGAATAACAACCGGAAGTTTGATTTCTCTTGATGGAACGCTTCTGTCTCACACAACAAATCTGTATGCCTTTGTTTCAACTCCTGCTGTACGATTCTGTCAGGTCACAGCTTCCGTTTGCCATTTTAGAGTCCCGGACGTCAACGCTCTCGTCGCTTAAGGTGCCTATTTTGTTCCTTGCAGATCAAAGGAGAGCAAAAGCTACCCACTGATTTTGGGAGATGACGTTTTCGACATTTTTTGCAACATGACCGTGGCCCCTATTAACAATGAAACATGCGGAGATGGTGGATGGTCGCTGGTCATGAAAATTGATGGGATGGAGGTATACGAACTTCAAACATTGCCCATGTTATCTTTTAAATCATGAAACTTATGAACTCTGAAACTAACTGTTTAATTCATATTTTGCTTTGCAAATACATAATTGATCTTAAGGCACTTTCTCCATTGAGATCTTCTACCTCAAGTTATGAAAACCGGGTTAGCAAACATTTTGTATTTTTTCTCAACTTCCCTTGTCTTAGCTTGGTTGCCTATGTCGCTTTTGTCTATTTGTTTGTTTGCTTTTTTTTTTTGGGGTAGGCATTTGTGTCGGAAGTGGCTGTAGAGGGAATTTCGCAAATTTGCGTTCTTTCTAACCCCCTTCCTCCCTAGACGGTGTCTTTCCGGCCTTACGAAGAATTCTCTGTCTAACTCAAGTGACAGTTATTATTGAAATCAGTGCGCACCCAAAGCTGGTTTCGGTACCGTTTAGCAGTTTACATTTCGTCATTGGTCACCTTGAAAAACGTTTCCCGGAGAGCATCATGTAAAGTTCTGAGATGGGACAAAGTAAATACGATTCGCAGCAGGTCTGCATCGTCCAATATCGTATTGTATTCTCGTTTCATCTGGGTAAACGGATTAACCACCCTAATCCGGGCTGAGACAGAAAGGTACGATATTGTTCGCTTTTCTAAGATGACCATTAAGTCTTTGGCCTCGGGAACAGGCTTCTAGGAGCACAACGGACTAGGCGAGAGCAAAATTTCAGGTGAACTTTGAACTTTGACCCGGGCCAAGACTATTTTTTTCCGAAGTGAAAACAGGGTCTATCACTGGTCTGCCGACCGTCCGGGAACTTGAATAAGACGAGCTAGTGTAAGGTAGAGCTGATAGAGGTGTTAATCTGCCAGTGGGCTGAGTTTTTCTGATAATATTTCGCTTGTGTTAAACGTGAGAAGATTATGCGTGGTTGTGGACAGTCTTACCAGTGCCGCGAAAGTGTGTGATTGTGTGATTTCCGCATGGTGTTGACAGGTATGTGATCACGCGGTTGAACTGCGGTTTCGCCAAAGCATTCTGTGCCAGCCATAAAAACTTTTCGTTGGTGTCTAGCTTAGCTGATTGCGCCTTAGGAAAACCAATTCTCGACTCAGGAAAGTTGGATCTAGGTCTAGTTTCAGTAGACTCTTGGCTTTGAATCAAAAGGCCGGTTTTTGCAGATAAGAAGGTGATAATTTGTTTACTATGTTTCAATCAGTTTGTTGTCTATTCCATGCCGCTGAAATCCTGTCATTTATCAGGGGCACCCAAAGATGGTTTCCGACCTAAATACATTGAAAACTCTTTTTAGGCTATCCAGAGTACTTTAAGATATCTAGAAACGCATTCTAAGCGGCGCTATAAAATTTGTATCTGTTCCGGGTCATCCTAGGGGAACTTGTGTCTTTTCGAAATTACAAGGGCTTGAGTATTGTTTTTCCGAAAATTTTCGATGAAATTTGACGTATTACGAAAGTGAGACATTTTCTGATCCCTAACGCCATCACATTTTTGAATCCGAAAATTTTAGGTTCGCTTTTTTTTCTACGAAAAATAGTCTAATTTGGGAAGTTAAATGTGAAAATTAAACTTCAGAAAATCGTAGGGAATTTATAAGATAGTAACTCGAAAATTGTACATGAATGGAACGATCATCTAGAAATTTTTATAGTCGTCCTCAAGTAATAGAAAATTCTATTAGACCGCGAAAAAGCATTGTTTTGCTAACTATTTATTATAAGTTGTTATGTAAGCCCTTACCAGGCACTTTTTGGCTGCATTTAACTTAAAAATTTCAAGACTGAAATGACACCGGTTTGAAACTTTACGGAGTCAGATTACTGAATAAATGTTCTAAAATTTACGTCATTTATACTAGAGACAAGTTAATATCCCGGCGTCTAGACGGATTATCCGTCAGAAGGATAATTCGTCTAAGTATAAATCCGAAGACGAATTTTGCTCCATAATTCGTCTAGATATTTTACGCTCACAGGTTACACGACGGTGAGGGTGAAAGGCGGAATGAGTTTGCGGAATGGCATGTGGCATGGCTTGCGGAATGACATAATTATGCGGAATGTAAAATATAGAAAATGGCACAAAGAAATAAATTAAACTGAGAAACATGCGCCCCTCTTTGCCGCGCCTCTTTTTGGCGCCAAATTGAGTGAGCAACTTTTTTACTGGTCCGTTTATTACTGCTGGCTTAAACCAACAAGGCAGAGCAGAAAGTAGCGATAAGTTTTACTGCATTCGTGTCTATGTAATACTTCATTTATTTTTGTTGCTCTCGACAATACTTTCTCTCTTTCCTCCCACCATTATAATAAAGTCAAATGTCAAAACGCTAGAGGGAAAAAAACGCTTGTTGAACGTGAAGTCTGGCTAGCTACAATTCTAGGGATTATTAATTAATACGATGGACGGATCAGATCATTTTTGAGACTAAATGAATGCCACGAGTCAAACATTAATCTGTAATCCAGAAATCGAGTGAAGCGAACTGCTCTCTGTACATGTCTTCGTTTGGCCTTTCCGCGTGTCTTCGCACCTTCCTTGTTTGTGTGAGTGTGTGCGTTTGATCGTGAAAAAATGCTAAAGTGGTAGGAAGGGGAAAAAAAGAAAAAAAGACACACACTCAATTGCCAGGATTCGGACTCGCCCTTCTCCGCCAGCTGTGGGCTTCGCGTGCCGGAAACTTAACCAAGCAGCTAAAGAAACAAAATACATGTAGAAGATCCGTTTCATCTCTGAATATTATGTCACGATCACGTAACCCACCGTTTGAAAAAGAAACACTTTTCACGCGGTTGCAAATACAAATATAGGTAAAAAGAAACTCTAAAGTTAATGGTGCAAACATCTTTTCCATGAAAAAATTAAAGTAGAAGGGAGCGTGACCTTCCAAAACATCTTTTCTTCAATTATGACCGACTTTCGTGCGGTAGTACCGGTGCTGCCATGCAGCCCGACTAATAAAGGCAAGAAGAATCTTTCTGGCTGTGCGGAAGAGGCTAATCGACAATGAGCCTTCGTGGCTTTTTGATTGTCATCGTATGTCAACATTAAAACAGCAGCTGCGTTTGCAGATTGATTGGCGCCAAAAAAGGTGCACTTTTCAGTTAAATCTATTTCTTTGGGTCATTCTGTATATATTACATTCCACATAATTATGTCATTCCGCAAGCCATGCCACATGCCATTCCGCAAACTCATTCCGCCTTTTACCCTCACCGGTTACACGATGGATATTTCGTCTAAGTATTAATCCGAAGACGAGTTTTGCTCCATAATTCGTCTAGATATTTTACGCTGGTTACACGACGGGTGTTGCAGTGTTGAGGAGCCGAGTTGTCTACGTTCCGTCTAGATATAAAATTAGACACGGATAACCCGTCTAAGACGAATTATCCGTCTGATAGCACGTCTTCAGGACGTGCTAACAGACGAATCAGCCTCAGACGACTTTTGCTCCATAATTTCTGTTAGCTCCGAATTTATACTAGAGACGGATAATTCGTCTCTAATATAAATTCGGCCATTTTGAAATATGGACTTGTTGAAATCGGCTTCTAGGGACCACTAACTTTCTGCCCGGCGCCGTTAAAGGCTTTTAATCGGCCTTTGAATGATTTTTTATTGTTTAAAATTATTGCCAAATAGTAGACTGAGTTGATTTTTTTGCTAACTCCAGGTATACCTACTTTTCCCTTTTTATTCTTAAAACTATATGTGACTAGTACGGTTCTGGTTCCACTAGGGTTATTGTCAAACTCCTTCTTGCCCCTTAGCGCAGATACGCTCAGCTTGCAGGGGATAGTTTACAATCTACCGAATTTGTTTTCCGTTCAGATTATAAGACTAGGAATGGGAAACATCTTCTTCGAGCTGGTTCTAAACTTTCTTGCTCTAGAGCTAGACAGATCTTTATTCAGAAATTTCAGGCCATTGGAGTGGATACTAAGCTCTACTCCGTAAAAACGAAAATCTTAAATTGAGACGTTTTTTCCTCTGAGAGGCAGGTGCTGATGTAAGATAGGTTCTTGGTATCAATTTAAGACGGGCCGTCTTAGGTAAGAAAAAACCATATATCTTAAAATAAGGCGAATGTAACTTATTAAAATAGGCACTTTTCCTCTTGATCTAGGATGAATTCCTCATAACTTAAGTATTCTTGACCTTAAACTCAGTAGCGAAACGTCTGCAGCACAAGGTCAGAGATGTTTATGTTGGTTTCCGGCCGCCATGTTGGTTCCCCTAGCTGGACACCAACATTTCTCCGAATATCTCTCATATGAAAAATTGCGCCGACCTGAATCTTGGTGAGGGTCTTTGCATTTTTCCTCCCTACAATTCCCACATTCTGGAATTCATCTATGACCAGTTTTGATTTTAGAATTTTTTATGGTGTGCTAGTAAAAACAGGCCGCATTGGTTAAAAAGATGAAGTGTAAAGTGATCAATTGGTGCAACACTAAATATTTAAGACAACAAAGGTTACGATTTAATCAAAATCAAGCATAGGAAAAATTACTACGTCGCTGTCGTTTTTTTGTAATTGAAACCTATGACCTTTTTTTAAAAACAAAATTACTTTTTTATATGTCTTCCTCTTTTTCTATTACAGGAAACGTTTCGCTACGATAAGGCCCTTTGGAGCAACAATGAAACCTTTAAGCTTATTGGAGGGAAGACTGGGTTTGACGACTATGAAACGAAGCTTCCCACCTACTGGAACACATCCTTCACCAAGATCTGCCTCGGTATGAAGATCAACCATCAGATCAAGTTTATTGTAATTAACAAGCAGGCGAACTCCTTGTATTCACTGATCGCTGATGGGCAATACCGCAACACCTCACTGGGTCGTGACACGTGGAAGTCGCTGATTGGTTCTGAGGCCTCCTTGCAGAAAAACTGTAACAAGGAAGGGTTCAATGCTGTTGGTGGTAATTCTCGCGATTATTCTAAAGCGAGAATCGGTATCATTGGTAACAATGAAAAAGATTGCAGTTCCTGTAACTCTAGAATTGGATTTGGTACTGGAGGATATCCTGGTAAAACCAACTCATGTGGAAACGAGGCTAAGTGGTCTCCAGATAATGGCGACAAGCATATTAAGGCAATGGGGTATATTTTAGTGCAGTAAAAAGAAACTGATCTGGGTTACTTTACTTTTGACGGCAAACGAAAGCTACTTAATCTAAACTCTAGATCATGTTCGTTTTTGTGGATAAACAATAGACTATTTCTAGATTCAATTAAAGTTAACCATTTACATTAGAAATTACATACTCGGCTTCGCCTCCAATTTTTAAAACCTTATAATACACTCCAGCTCTTTTTTTAAACAGTACGTAACCCAGGCGATTTGCTTCAACATATCAGTTATTGTACATTTTTAATATACATTTAAAGATCAACAGAAGTCAATAAATAATTTTCAATAAAAATTATCTAGCGCTATCAGGCGTCTTAGCTAACTTTGATAACAGAGAGTTTTAAGGTGATGTTACGCGAGACGATTCGCAACGACGACTTTTAGCGCAACACATCGTTGCAATGTTGGAACAATGTTAGTAACTATTCGAAACAATTTAAGGGTGCGTTATTTTGGGAGAATCCAAAAAGTGCATGATTTGTGATCTCAGATCATATGGATTCTTCACTACCAAAAAAAACGGAAAATCCAAAAAAAGGATCATTTATCATGACAACGGCATGTCCTCGTGCTCCTCGTGGGAAGAAAACAACACACTGATCTTCGCGGCGAAGACAAGAAGAAAAATAAAAGCAACATAAGCTACGTATGAATATACGAAATGTATATACAGCGGATTCAGGTTGAGCTTTTAATGACGTCAAATATCGCGTTCGTTATCACGGATGATTGGTTGCAAATTGTCAGACGTTGCTAGGCGGGGATGATATCGTTCTCTCTGAGAAAAGGCGCGCTGTCTTATCGATCTGTGTGTCTTGGCGATTGAAATCAAGATAGAATATTCCTACTATTCTACAAAAGAATAACTCCAGTATATATTGTCGAAGAAGAGCTTATAAGCCTGGAATACAGCAAGTTCGTAGAACGCATTGTGAACGAGGTGCCCCATCTCCGACGTGGTAAATTTTCGAAACTGTCGCTAATGAAACGTTCAGCTCATTTGCAATATCCACAAATCGACCTGGAAATATCATTGTTAGTGGATCACCTCTTCCTTCAATGATTTTATCGATGATGATATGTCTTAGGTCAGAGGATAAAAGGTTTTCCTGGGATATAAGAGCGACCGTCTTGCTTACGGTCAGCATGTTTTATTTACATTCTGTATAGCGCCTTTTCTTCGACAAAACGCTATCATCCCCCGCCTAGCAACGTCTGATAATTTGCCTCGCAACGCAACCAATCAACCACCATAACGAACGTGATAACTGACGTCATTAAACGCTCAACATGAATCCGCTCTATTTCGGTTTGAAACACAAACGTTTCTCGAATAGAATACACTCCTAAGGATAGTAAAATTATAAGAATTTAAAACTGAAGCCGATAAACTGTTTTTTTTCGTTTTCATTTGGAAAATAAACCGGCGTAAGCTAGCTTTTCTGTGCGGTTTAGGAGCAAAGAAGGAGGGACGAGGAACCCCGCGAAAAATGTCCTTCTGTCATTTTTTGGCTGTAATGTCATTTCTCACGCGGCTGTTCCTCGGTCTTTCTTTTCTCCGAAACCAAAACGCTTGCAATGCAGGCTAGCGTAAGCAGACACTACATAGGTGCAAAAATAACATGACAAGTAAGGATTTCAAAACAGTCTACGAATGTAAATAAATAACAAACATGGAATGATATGTAACTGAAATGGCTCATAGCCTGCAGTGCAGGCGTATTTTGGGTGGGCGAAACCTTGTTCGTGTTCGTAACGTTGTTGTAGCCGCCATCTTTAATTTTATGACAGTGGAAGATTGGGGAGAGTAGAAATAGTAACCCTTACGGTAGGGAAGTTTCAACATGGTGCTTTCGCGAGCAAATTGCGCGTTCAAAGAAAACGCCTGCACTGCAGGCTAATGACTCAAAGTTAAGACGCCAGCGATATAGGTTCGGTTAGAATGTAATACATGTACGGTACCTGTTGTGTGCCATTTTTGTTCAGAAAACCGCTTGTCAAAAATACTTTTTTCAAATCCTTTGCCCAAAAAACGTTCAGATTGTGAATCTCAAAAATCCGGATTTGGATTTGATCCGAAGAATCCACCCATGAGTGTGGATTTTATGGATTCATGATCCGTTTTTGGATTTGTCAAAAAAAACCGCAAAATCCGTTTTTAGATTCGGAAATACGGATTTGGATTTTCCCAAAAAAACGCACCCAATGTCGTACCAACCTTGCAAAGGAGTGATGCGCTAAAAATCGTTGTTGCGAATCGGCTCTTGTAACATCACCTTTAGCAACGACGACGCGACGGCAACGAGAACGTAAAAACAACAATAGGGTTTATTGAACAAAACAACAAGTTTGCACGTACATCACTCTTTTGTGCACATTTGTTACTGCACGACAAGGACGTGAAAATGCCTAATTTTACGTTTTATGGAGGACGTAAAGGTGATGTTACACGGGACGATTTGCAACGACGATTTTTAGCGCAACACGGCGTTGCAATGTTGGAACAGTGTTGTCACTATTCGAAACGATGTCACAACAATGTTGCAACGCTGTGTTGCGCTAAAAATCGTCGTTGCGAATCCTTTCGTGTAACATCACCTTAAACCAGCGACGACGAAATTTTCTTTCTCTTTATAAACTTGACTGCGGTCCCCAAGAAATCAACTCCACGAAAATTTGCGGCCTACATTAGACATTTTCAGTGAATTGGAATAAACGCGACAAAGTTCGAAAAAAACGCCAATTCATTTTAAACAGTGACGTTTTCGCTGCCGTCGCCGTCGTCGGTGCTAACTTATGACTCCCTACAAGAGAGAATGATCATTCTCTCTTGGTCCCTAATAATGACAGTAAACGACAATATAATATTAAGTTTTTCCTCTTTGATTTCACTAGTTAAAGTGTATATACCTGGATTTGTGATAACCGCCGGGTCAGCAAAAAATTTTATAATTTCTTTCGATTATATATTATAATTTTTATGCTAATCCACAGGTAATACATTGGAATTTGTTGTTTAAACGGTCCATCATTGTTCCTTGATCAATTTTTCAACTTAATGAACAGTGAATAAATTTAAACAATGTTTTTTCGCCTGAAATTCTGCAGGGTTTGAATTATCCAGAAACCGTATTTATTGAGTATTTGATCAATTTTAGTTACTGAAAAACTCTAAACATTCTGATTTGGCTACTATTTCATAAATTATATTATTTCATATTTTGCAAGAGCGGTGCGAATATCTGTCTTTAGAAAGGGTTAAACCGGTTTTAGCTTTGTCCCATAAAATTGCATTAAGCGCTCTTTCCTTTTAACCTGTCTGAAGTCTTTTCGTCACAAAAGTAAATTTTTTAAAATGCTGCACTTCAGCCACGATTTCTTTGGTAAAGCTATTCTGTTTCTCAAGGATTTTAAGAGACTCCTTTTCTAACCAATTTCGCCGGCAAGAAAACGGGATATATAGTTAACCAAAGTATAATTCTTTGGTGTTAGAGAGTATTAGTACGAAGACGAGAGTGAAAAAAAAAAATCAAAATATTGATTATGTTTATTTTTGTCACGCATTACTGTTTCATTGTATTTTTGCCTGCGAATACAGCCTCCTCTCTTCGTTCCTCACCATTCGTAGGCAAATTGTATCTCAGCAACTAGTGTAAATAAAACCGTTGAATCAAAAATGAGCATTGCTTATTGTCAATAATTCTTTTGTTGACACAAGAACTAAAAGGGAGTTTCTCTGATTCACATAAACAACTAACCCCCCCACCCCCCCCTTACTAGGCAAGCTCGTTACGCCAGCTGGTACAGTGGAGTACCTAAAAAAAAAAAAAACAACTCACCCAGCAGATGGCTTAAACCATGATGGGTAGGACTGATATTGCAAAAAAGGACATTTCTGAATCCAACCTACTTGAAAGAAAGTCCTCATAACCTAAAAAAGGGATTTTTTTCAACTGAGACTACTGATACATTGTAAAACTACGAGAATCTCTGTGGAAATCCCCAGAGCAAATAATCGCCTACCTGATGTGAGGCAAATGTGCGGTTTTTTTTAACTATTGCTATGGTTGATGAACACTGTGTGGTCATCAGTGAAGTGCTTACTCAATTTCCGTCACGCATTACTGCTGTTTCTTTGTATTTTTGCCCTCGAATACAGCATTCTCTCTTCCCTCCTCACCGCATTCGCAGGCAAATTGTACCTCAGCAACTGTGAATAAAACCGTTGAATTAAGAGCATTGTTCATTGCCAATGATTCCTTTTCTTGACGCAGGAACAAAAAGGGAGTTTCTCGGATTCACCTACACAAGTAACCACCCCACCCCTCCCTTACTAGGCAAGCTTTTGTTACGCCAGCTGGTACCTGAAAAAACAAACAACTCGCCGGCAGATGACTTAAACCATGATGGGTAGAACTGATATTGCAAAAAAGGACATTTCCTGATTCAACCTACTTGAAAGAAAGTGCTCATAACCTAAAAAAAGAATTTTTTTCAACTGAAACTACATATAACTAGGAGAATCTCTGGGAAAAAAATCGATTTGAACACAGCGCTATTTTCAGGTCTCAAAAAACTCACCAACATTTTTCTTTGTATCGTTTTTAAACGTTTACCAACAAACTTAAGTTTGAAATTTGAACTAACCCGAACCACCCATCCCATTGTTTCAGGTGGTGAAGCAATTAACGTTGGGTTCTTGCCACGGACCCCCAGATTCCACAGCAGGTGATTCCTTTTACTAATGGCTAATACTGAGTTTGCTAACAGTCAGATGGACATAACTACATTGTACACAATAACCACGTATAAGCAAATCCCGATAAGAATTTGGTCTTGCGTTTCATTCAATTCTGAAGGGTTTCAATCGCATCGCTAATGCTTAGCATTAGCGATGCGCATAAGCTAATGATCGAAAGAACCCACGTAGTCTCTAAAACCTTATTGACCAGTATATTCTTCTTATTTGGCAAGTCGTCAAAAAGCTACTGTTTTTAAAGACTAATAATTAAAGCAAAATTTAAATTTTAACTGTATTGGTGGAAAAACCCATTAAGCACTCCCGAGCATTGAAATAACATTTTCAAGAACTTTTAAGTAAAGCTAATGGGAACCTATCATTTTTTCGCTTTTCAAAAGGAATATACTAGACGATTCGATGAAAATTCTTTTTGGAAAGATAAGCAATGGTTGTAATTATCTTTTTGGACGCACAGAAAACGATTTTGTGATGGCTGCTGTTGGCGCTTTTATTAAGACCGGAGAATATGGTATTTATGGTTGAATAAACATAGTCTTTTCTGAAAAAATAACCTTCCCTCTACGCCAAATCAACCTAAAAATTTTGTGAAGTTCTTATTAGTTTCATTCTTTTTATGTTGTATGTTCACAGATAACTAAAGAAAAGTAGACCTGTAAGTTGACCCTCGAGACAATTTAATTAATATTCCCTTATTACGGAAGAAGTATAGTCTGATATACAGCCATGTAAAATTGCAGTGCAGAAAACTGTAAAGATATTTTCTAACGCCAAAGAGTCTTGGAGCTAAAGAAAAGATTATCTATTTTGGTAAAGTCTCCTGTAAGGGGGCAATACCCAGGCGATGTTTTTTTGTCTTGTTTTAATAAGAATGTGTTATTTTTTTCCAGAGCCTTAATCCTAGCAACCAATACGTTGGCGTTTGAAGTGCATTGGTTGAGGTTTCAAGACCTGTCATTAATTGGCCCTGCCACACTGAAGCGACGTATTAGACAAAGAAAGTCATAAATAACAAACATTTAATATTGCATAAAAAACTGATGGTTTCTAGAACGGCTATCACTTTACAAAACACTATTTTTGACAGTGTTTGTCAAGTTCATCCACTGATTTTACGAAGTTTGCCAACCGTGAACAGTTTCACCAATCTGAGATGTTCTCTTTATCCTTCTTCCAGCTCCTTCCCTTGTTTTCTGCGATACCCAATGCAGTCTTTGCTCAAATGGAAGGTTGGTTTTTCTTCGCTTTATTGATAGTCGAGTGAAATTTCATGGAAATAACCTTTTTACTTGGTATAAGTTAGAGGGAAATCTATGAAGAGGATAGTTCAGGGAAGATGGAGGCAAACAAGCTTTCCTCATTATAACGATATGCATGTAAAACAACACTGACCCGCGGATAGTATTTTGTCACTAATTAACATGGCTCTTTTTCTGTTTCGCTTGGTGAATTACTTTAAAAATCACTGAAAATTGCGGCCGGCAAGTTAGAGAAATGTATGACAGTCCCTAAAGTTGTGCTGGGGAGGGAGCTTAAACAACTAGGAGAAAAACGAATACTAGTTTTGCGTTGTTTTAAACTCTATCGCGTTTATAAAGTTGAGTTTTTATCGCGATACTTTATTTTGTTTCGGTCAATTTGTTAAACGCTGATGTACCCCGTAAATTTTCCTTGAGTTTAATTCTTAAGGAGCAAGAGCCATAGTGGTCCCAGTTATTGCACGACATTAACAGTCAAATAAATATCAGTAGTGGACTGCCAAAAAATCTCTAATTAATTTCATGAAGATGATAATTCCCATTTTTCTTCTCCTGACCTCTTAGTAGGCCTTACTTTCAGCTAAGGTGTTTGAATTCCACTTCACATAACGCGTTCAATTTTAAAAGTCATTCTTAAAGTCGGGAACTCCTTAAATTTAGAGATATCTTAGTGCACGACCCATGCATTCTAAAAAGGTAAATTTCAAAACCATTCTTTCTTATTAATGATTCTTCAGAATTCACCACCATGTATCATCACAGCCTTCGTCAAGATGTCTTATAAAGGAAGAGTACCATTATTTAAACGTTCCTAAAGTTGGAACATTCACAGTGTATGACAGCCTTGACTGCACCTTTGAATGCCTCGGCAATCCTTCCTGTTTGTCCTTCAACCTGGCAGCTTACAAAGGAGCAGATGGAAAGTTGTGGTGTGAGTTGTTATCCTCAGAAAAGTACAGCAATCCTGAGGAATATAAAAGGAACGAGAGTTTTCATCACTTTTCCATCAAGGTGGGGTAAAATCTTTGCATAGAGTTGATTAAAGTAAGATATTTTTTGATATCCCAGTCTATGCGATTTTTAATAACGTGTCACGAACACTAATCGATGTAAAAGTGACTACTGCACGATAACAAGTCGGGATTATTTAGTCGAATGTCACTTTCTGCTTTCTTTCTTTCTACAATCAACACTTCACGCAAAACAAAATTACCTTTGGTTAATTGTAGGGCATTTGACATCAACCTCTTTTATAATTATTTCAGACTCCATGTATGTCATCACCTTGCCAGAACGGAGGTACCTGTGTAGCGAACTATAAGTATCACTCGTTTGACTGCCGTTGCAAAAAAGGCTTTTATGGCGAATTTTGCGAAAAAGGTAATTGATATTCAGACCTGGGCCCCCGTTTAAGTTAGGACAACCAAACTTAGCGGCTTTACCTAAAATTTATATGGGAACATTTTAAAGGCGTAGTGTCCTGTGCGTCAACGTTGATGTTACCATAGCAACCGAGTTTTGACAGCCATGTTTTTCAACATTTGCATTTTCTCTAAAAAATAGGTTTAATTCATTCCTTTTTTCTACTGATTGAATTATTACGTTATCTACTTTTTTTCAGTTACCAAGTCCTCATGCCAAGACGTTTATAATCAGCTCACAGAAAAGTGGGTAAACCTGTGCATAGTAATTTAATTAATGAGGATAGATCAGTTAAAGTCCGGAGGATCCTTCGGAGTGCGTCAGTACTGTGTTTATGAGCCACAAAAACAGCCAAAAAATCAGTCGTCGAACCTCAATAACGGGGTATTCAACAAATTTTTACGGGGAAGCCCTGCCCCGAGGTCCATGTCCTTACCTTTTCACATACCATTTTTGACAGAAAAGGTTTCGTATCCCATTCCATCCGTTTTGGCGGTTGAGGGGTGGAGTGGCTTGTTACAGGCATTTTAAAATGATCTCAGACCATACAAGGGTCAATGGCAAGAAAGAGTACCTTATCAAAATCAAACTTGCACGCTGTTTTGCAGTTTCTTTTGTTTTTTTGGTAATAAAATCGTATTAACCCACAAAAAAAAACAGGGTTCATTGTATGCAGTTAGTACATGATTGTGACGACGAAATAGACAGTGGACAGTAAGGTATCCAGTGGTTACCAGTGTCCATAAAGCGAAGTTGACGGCATGAGATTTTCTGACTTGGGAACACAGAAAAGTGTCCGTTTTCCGTATTAACCGTTGTCCTTATTAAACGGGTTGGAGAAAATACGTGAGCGTCAATAAACATGCAAAACTACTGACTATCTGTGTAACATGTTCTGAGTAGTTGTCAAGAAAAACCAATCCAAGTATTATAGGTAGCTCACGGGTAAAATAGGGTTCCTTTGACCTCAGATAAGAAAAACATCATGCGCACCATTTTCGCGGTTTTTAGGTCGCCCCTTTCCCCTTCCTTCTGAACATCTGTTACGCTGTTTAGCCAACTTCGATGTCCGAATTTAATTCCTATAGAACACTTTATTCAAATACACTTTATTAAAGTTAGTTGAAGAGCAGAACAGCTTGGTATCATAAAGCAAAAATAAATATCAACCTGTCCCGGAGGTGAAATTATATCAGTCCAAAGTACATTAATCGTGTAGTAACTCCCAGTAACGTGATGGGGAACCTGAGAAATTTAGATTTAACTGAGACTGTTTTGAATTCCATTGATTCATTTATTTTTGTAAGAAAAAGCGAACCTTTTTTTTTTTACAACCAGTTAAGGTACATTCCATTTTTTCTCTCCGACAGTTAGGAGCTGGAAAAACTAAAATGAGATTTCATTTTGTACAGGTTGAACGTGGCTCAGTTGGTCACTCTCCTCCTTGACTCCAAACTAGTTTCAGTTCTCTGTCACTTTGGAAATTTTGGATGCGGAGATGGAGGATGGACACCGGTCATGAAAATGGACGGCAACAACGTAAGACATTTGTGTACGTTTTCCCTTAGTTTGGCGACTAGAGTGAAAAAAATGACGTAAAATTGTAACATTTTCTGGGGAAGCATAACCCCAGTCCTCCAAGTTTGAAGTGCCTTCGGTGCTCCAACTTTTCTTCTCGTGCGTATACATGCTAAGTCCTTGGATCTGAAAGATTTAAGTATTAAGAACACCTTTAAGCTTCTGGAGTATCTCGGTCAGTAACAGAGGTCATCATCCGCTTTTCCTGTCAGACGATGTGAAGGTTTTCATATCAAAACACAGAAGCCTCTGGTCTCTGTACTTGCGAACAGGCGAGAATTAGAGATAATTATATTCAATTCGGCATTTTTCAATCGCATCAATGATTAAAGAGCGCAGTATTTGTTTACTTTTTATTCTGTCGGTGACCATTAACGCCATTTCGCCTGCTGTGACAAACTTCATTTTATAAATCTGGAGAAACAAGGACGTTGTAGATATTCTTTTCACTGTAATTGATCTTTCATTACAAATTCCTTTTTTTTTTCCTTCTCCTGAAAGGATGTTGTCTTAAGAAGAAAAAGAAACCTTAATTTGAACTTTTCTTTTTAAAGGACATTTTTCCTATTTCTTCCTCCTTTCTACCATAGCAAACATTTCATTACGGTGCAGCCTTTTGGGGAAACAAAAAGACCTTTAACCTTAACGGAGGGAAGACTGGTTTTGACTCAAAAGAGACTAAACTGCCCTCCTACTGGAACACTTCCTTCTCCAAGATCTGCCTCGGTATGAAGATCGGCCAACAGATCAGGTTTATTGTCATCAACCGGCAAGCGAATTCCTTGTACTCTCTGATCGCTGATGGGCAATACCGCGGCACATCGCTGGGTCGTGACACTTGGAAGTCACTGATTGCTTCTGAGGCCTCCTTGCAGCTCAACTGTAACAAGGAAGGATTCAATGCTGTTAGTACAAAGTCTGCATCTTCCAAAGCCAGAATCGGTATCATTGGTAACGACCAAGACGATTGCCGCTCTTGCAACTCTAGAATTGGATTTGGCACTGGAGGACAACCTGGTAATACCATCTCTTGTGGTAACGAGGCTAAATATGCTCCAGATAATGGCGAGAAGCATATTAAGGCAATGGGATATATTTTGGTACAGTGAAATGAAACTGATCTGGGCTAATTTGCCCCCTTGGCGCCAAACAAAAGCTAGCTTAACTTAACTCTAGATCCTGTCGTTTTTTTTTTTGAGGATAAACAAAAGAAAATAAGTAACCATTATACATTAGACTGAAGCATATAACACGGAAAATAAAGGATACACTGGGAAACCAAGATAAAAATCGTTGGCTGTATTTCTCTCAGTTGCTCCTCAAAGTTGGTACGCCCTAACAAAACTATCTCATTTTGAGATTGTATGTGAGTGTTCAGGTTTTACTTTTTTTTGTCATCGTTGTTGTTTTACTTATGTGACGAGAGAATTTATTGTTGTGTAGTTATTTTGCTTTCGCTGATAAAAATATGAAAAGCCAATGTATAAATCCTATATTCTTTAGTTTTAACTTCTTTTAGACGTAAACAACGTGTCGATTTATCGAGCGTAAACTTATTTGTCAAGTCATAATTGCTTTTAGTCTTCAAACTCAGTGTAATTTGACCTGCAAAAAAGCCCTTATCCACCTGCGTAGCTTTTGGAAGTAATTAATGTTTCAAAACAAGCTGAGGTTTCCACCAATAGTCTTTTAGAAATGATTGTTGCGCTCCGTAATTTGACTCGTTAAGTTGTGAGCTTCGCTAGCTTAGGCTTAAATACGAGTGCTTTGTAGGAGCTTCTTCGGTTATACCCTCGTTGCATCTAGTAGCCTTGGTTAGATTTTGGTTGGTTATGTTTTGACTGTACCCGCGGTATAGTCTTGGATTAAAACTTCTACATTAGAGCCAAGTTCTGTTGTGGTCATTGTCTCAAGGGTATTCAACAGGGTATTCAAAGATTCCGTGCCTTCCCGCAGTCAGCGAGTGTCCCCAGGAAAAGGCCTTTCCGAGAGTCTAAGAGCTTTTCCCCCGTTCGTCGGTTACCCTTTTGTAAAGGCAAAACCTGTTTTCACACTTAGATAAGTATTTGAAAAGGGCGAAGTTGGTGATGCTAGTATTAGCTTTTCTACATGACCTGTTTTACATTAGTTCTTTAAATAAATAAGCGTCCTTGAAGAGTACTACTGTAGTAATGAAAATAAAATAAGGACCGTCCTGTATCGGTAATTAGAAACGGTCAGTGTTAACGTGGAAAAATATAAATTCAGGGAACTGAAGTGTACGCATAGGCTTAAATTAGTCACAAACTAGTGGGTTGGGAAAGTTTTCAGATTGGAATGATATTTCTCAAATTATGATCAATCGGTTCCAGAGGAGACTGAATCGGAGTTTGAACCACGCACTCAAATGATACTTGGAAACCGAATTTGATTCACGAGATAATATTTTATTTAATAAATTCCTAGAGTGATTTTGATTTGGAAGTATATCCCTTGGAAAGGATAGGATGCGGTTGTGTGAATGGTTTCCATCCACGTACTTTTGTGCCCCTAAAATGTCGTGTTGTTTTTTGGGTTCTATTGCTACTTTATTTTTTCATTCATGGGTGAAATTAGAAAATTTGAAATACAATCTCAGTTTAATAATGAGTTTTCTTTGCTAAATCTAATCGACTGCGTTCTTTTTAGATCTAAAATATTTTGCGCATTCAAGGTTCTTGCTGATCCATTAGACGCTCGGACGTCCGGGACCTTTATTGAATTTTGGGACCCACGTGGGGGCGTATAGACAGGAGACTCAAAGGAGGCGTTTATTGACTTTATAATGTAATAAAAGTTGCAAGCTCAACAAAATTTTAAAAGATGATTTCGACCAAAATATCAAGAGAATTTAAAAATGGTGGAATTTTTGTGTCCATCAATTTTACGTCTAGGGCCGTATACATATAGCGATGTATATCAGGAGATCGTTCGAATCTTTACATCGATGTCAGAATCCTGGCTTCGGGTTATTGTGTTTGTCATCGTTAGTAAATCCTTACCCTGAATTTAACACAGAATAAGCAAAATGCAATGCGCAGACGAGGTTGCCTATTTACCGAGTCAGGATTTCGAGTTGGGTTTCCAGTTGGATTTTCGTGTTGGATTTTCGAGTTAGGATATTTTTGGCGAGATTTTTTGGCGGGGTTTCCAATAAATTTTCAGTGGTTTTACACAACGTACTCTGTCAGCGGTGTTGCACATCGTCTTGAGGTCTTTTCAAGATGGAGGAGAACGAGGATGGCAGACCGGTAACGGCAATCTTGTTTAATCTATCCTAGTATTGCATTCGTAATTATATTTTTGACTGGACAGAATGGCTTACACTTCAATGAATGCTTTTATTTATGAATTATTCATTAATTGTCGAGTGTCGGCCGGATGTAAACCATTAAAATCTTTCGTAAAATAATGTTTGATTTCAGAGAATTATACACCAGAAAAAACCTACATGTGATCCCAGAAATGTTACCTGGTTATAATTTTGTTTTCAGAAGCACATGATATATCCAGGGCCGGGTGGAAGTGCCAATTATAGAAATATATAGTATATAAATATAGAAGTCAATGTCACGAGGTGCAAATTATCTAAGGCCCAACGTAACTGGTTTTTTAATACTGCAAGAGCGGTGCAAATATCTTTCTTTAGTAAAATCCAACTTTAGTGGTCTATTATCAATGCTGCGTTCTGATTGGTTGAGCTACTATAGCTACTAGGCTAAAATGTTATAGCCCACTAGTAGCGAAAAGCGCCGGCTTTGAAAACCAAAACAAAGGCGGCTGAATAGCGTTTTCCTAGTTAAAGTTGTTTTGTCTCGATATTTTTGACCACCTAGTTGGATTTTACTAAAACAATTATTCCTCTCGCCCTCATGGCCCCTGAGTCAATAGCCCATGACCCCCCTGTATAACTCATGCATTTCGGGCTGATAGTCCGCTTGTTTTTACAGTAATCTGGTGCTTAATGCAGTTACAAAAAAACTCCATACCTAGACAAAACGAATGATGATACCGAGTCTGGATGAAAAAGAAGTTTCAACACCTGTGTAATTTATCATTTACTTGGGAAAACTGGAGGGGCTGGACATTCCGCTTGTTTGTGTCATTCCAACCTTCAGAGAAGATTTAAGACGAAGTAATTTTCGTACTCTTTTCAGTCTGTGCAGCCGATTTGGATATAATTTGTAGCGGATCGTTCTCAAACTACGTGAAATTTTATTTACCATTTTCACCGAGACCATAATTATACACCTCGTTTGAGCCCCCCCCCCCCATTTTTCATCACCATTGTTTCCTATTGTTTCACCTCTTAACAGAGTCGTCCCAAGAGAAATCGAAGAAAAGGGTTGTACCAAATTTGGGGGTGTAAACAAGGTACGTTATGGTCTCGGTGAAAATTTTCAATAGTTTTATATCTATGCACCAGATTTCCACCTGGGTGGTTTGTGTAAATGGTAAGCATCTCTCAGTTTCCAAAGATTGTTTACTAACTATGCAATACAACAGACGCGCTGATCAGACATAACAACTCAGGTTTGATTGATATTCTTATTAGTCTGGCTGCCAGAAGCGACACACACAATTGAAAAGAAATTCATAGATAATTAATATTTAATATTGCATATAATTTAATGGTTTTTGAGAACACCTATCGCTTTAGAAAAAGACTCAATATTTTACAGTGTTTGTCAGGTTCCTCAATTTCACGGAGTTCTCCAACAGTCTCTCCCCACTAATCGGCGATGTTCTCTTTTTACTTTTGCTCGTTTTCCCTCATTCCGTTGTTTTCTGTGATACCTAATGCGGCTTCTACTCAAATGGAAGGTTAGTTTTCTTTTATTTATATAGAAGGACATAGACTGACATGACTTCTTGTGCTTTGTATGTAACATGTGACTTTCCTTGGTAACTAAAAATTCCGGTGAGTGCGTTAAAGAGATTGTATCAGAGCTCCGATCTAAGTGAGGGCTGTGGATGTAAACTATGTTTTCTTTTAAAGACACCATGGTTAAAATGCAAAGACGCTTCTGCCCTTGGAAATGAAAATAGCACTAGTCACTCGGGGGGAAAACTTGCCAAACAATTTGGTTTGGTCATCGTTAAAAATTGTCTCTCCATTCACGAGTCAGACTCACTAGTGAGAAAATTAAGAAGTGGAAAAAAATTGTTATGGTCATCGTGAGACGATTGTCTTCCCCTAGCTAGTTCTTTATTCAACAGCTTAAGTACTGAAACTTCTAGCAGAGACATTTTTTAAGTGTCAAGAGCTGCAGACGGGCTACATGGGTTTCCATTCCTTACCAAAACCACCCCACCCCTCCATTGCTAGGCAGGCTTGTTACGCCAGCTGGTACCTAAAACAAACGACTCCACGGCTGATTGCTTAAACCACGATGGGTAAATTGAGGTTGCAAAAACGGACATTTCTTAATCCAGCCTACTTTAAATGAGTGACAGTGCTCATAACCTAAAAAAAAATATTTTCAACTCAAAGTATACATTTGTTGTGGAGTATTTTGAAAGTTATTTTTAGACAGATCTATCTTATCTTTTAAGTTTAGTTTTTGATCTTTTGTTTTCACTTGTACTTTATTTAATTCACGCTTAGCTCGTGAATTTTTTTCAGTTACCATATTCGGAATGTTATTCGCTTGGCATTCTCAGATGTTAGTTTTTTACAGGTGGTCGTGCTTGTGGTGTTAGAGCTGACCTTCGTTCTTTGGTACTTATCAGTTGCGACTGTGCGTAGGCTAATCTATTCCCTAACAATAGGAAACCTGTTGCAATGTTAGCGATACGATATACAGACATGTCCAGTTTTCGTTATTAAAACCACTACTGTACTTGAACTAGATGACAAAATCAGGGATCCGAGACAAACAAATATGTCTCCTGAGCATTATTTTTGAAGTTGCAAGCAGCAGGGATCAACTTTGAAAAACTGTTAGGCTGAACAGTTTTCAAAATCCCGAATTTCAATCCGTTTCAACCCTCTTCAGTTTTGCCCATCCGTGGCATCTGTTGTTTCTGTTGGGTTATTTTAACCTTGCTTTAAAGTTTTAAGAGGCTATTTTTATGTTTCTCTCAATTTAACGGGCATTTTGTAATTTGCTAATTTGGCTGAATTTTGTGACACAGCTCCTTTAAAATTAGAGATTATATGGACAGGCGGGTTAACCCACCTACGCGGTTTACCTCACCTTACTGGGGTCCCCCACCTCCATGTAAACAGGCCCTAAGAAATGTGCCCCAAAGTGTGATGCACGTGCGGAGCTGTTATTTTTTCATTACACAAATTGTTTTCAGACGTTCGATCGTTGCCGCCATCGTCGATAGGCTGCTTCAAACTTAATAAATCTTAATCAGTTTTAAAGCTCACAAAAAGTATGATTTATAGAACTACATGACTTTAAACAGTCCGGGCCACAACCAGATCTGGATATGTAATTTCCTGCAATGTGATTGGTCCAGAACGCAACCAACACATTGATTTGACCGCGAAAGGACTAAGTTCGACAGAAATGTCGCAGCAAAGAGCGCTATGGCTGGGATGTTCCTTGAAGAAAAATTAACAGCATGTACTACCAAACCGATTAATCGAGATGATTTTATGCGTCTTGGCGTTCGATTTACAAATATCAAGATGATAATGATCGAGGAAGGTTTCTGTAAAAACGCCTGGACTTCTGATATCAAGAGGCCCGAAGCAACTGAACGACACGGATCGAAAAGGAAGAGTAGGGAATTTGAATACTTGAAATACTGATACATTTTAAGTGGAAAGGTATAAAGAAGTCGTGTTTGGAGTACTTTTTACGAGCACTGCTTTGGCCTAGAGTAGTATGCTTTATGCTTCTTCGGGAGCAATTGCAAGTTTTCAGTGTCACGCTATTCAAAATAGATCAAAATAAAAATCAAAACCATTCGACAGATAAAGCCCAGAATCTGGGAAGTGAAAGGGGATAAATACACAAAGACCCTCGCCAAGATTTGGGCCGAAGGAATAATTCGTATACGAGATATCCGAGGAAATGTTTTACCCAAATTTATAGAGCTTTGTATGGAGACGCCATGCTGGAGCTCATCCGGATGAGCTCCAACATGGCGGACGGAAACCAACAGAAACTTCTGTTGCCGAGTTTTGCTACAAAAGCGTGAATTTACTCCTAGAGGAACTCATAAACATTAAAGTAATACTCTTTCTAATGCTTGAACTGTTTAGATAGCAAAATTCCTCGAAAAAAGTTACTTTTTTAACCTAAATGACAGCTCTCTCGGCCGTAATGTAAATGCTGCGTCACGCAAAAGCTTAGAAATTCAAGCGTACCTATTACAAAACCAAGAACACTTTTGAAGCGAAAATTTGTTTGAAAATTAGTTTTCAGCTGCTCTAATACACCATGAAAGTAAAATCTCAGTTGGATCGATAGTTTTGTATTTTGAATTTTAGTGACGTCATGTGAAAACCAACAATACCATACGCGCTAAAATCTAATTGCGATCGAAGGAGTGCTGGATATCAATTTTCAATATTTCAATCGTCAAACATCTTGGATTAATATGCGAAGGTAAAAAAAATAAATAAATTTTCTGTAAATTGCACTCGCGAAGGGTCGTAAACAGTCATTAATCAATGTCTGTCTTTTCGTGGTGCAAAACCCCATTGCGGATGAAAATATTAAAATACCATTCACCAGTTCAGAGGTGGACTTTATCGTGTTCTAATAACATTAAAGTAGGGTGGTAGGCCTACACGAATTTTAACTCATGCCAAAATGCTGCTCGTTTCAATGAAGTTTTTTTCCTCTGCTGGGTAGATTATGATCTGGAAGATTGTACATTTTCACTGAGATTTTAGCCTCTTGTTGCACACTGAGAGGTCATGGCACACACATCGATTTACCGTGGTTTTTGTGTCTGGTCTGAAGGATTTTCCCTCTAATGCAAGAGCATTTTCTGTGACCTCAGTTTTTGAAGCGTAAAGCATTTTATTACGGCTAAATAAGGGTTTTAATTTTCTCCAAAGTGCCTGCTAGATCTGAATAACTAAGCGATTTTTGTTAGTCCGTGAATGTAAATAAAAATGTTGTTGTTTTTTTTTTTGCAGTGTTGTATCAGGCTGTGAGTTTTCTTTGCAGGATGTTAAATTATCACGGATAGTGATTTATAGATACTAAATTATAAGAATTAAGTGCAGCTTCAACTGAAGCTGCATCTAATATGGAGAAATGCATTGCGACTCAGTAGACTCCAGCTTGGTGTTTTTCTATAAATGCGAGTCTTCTGACTGGAGCGCGTATTCCCATCCTTGACAATAGCTTTTGAATAAGCTTAACAGTGTTTGAACTGTTTTGTTATTGCCACTTTGTGATCAGGCAAGACCATGGTTACGGTTCTCCACGAACAAACTGGCGGCATCTTTTTGCCACAAAAACAAGGTGCTTTTGCTTTTCCATCCGACTGCAAGATAAAAAAAAACATTGCGTTACAATGAAAAGCAGCAGCACGTGAACGGCGCAACTGACTGCTGCATCTTCCAAAGCACAGCACTACTTGAATTCGCTATGCACTACACCAAAAAGACCACCACCAACAGGCACATTTTATGTAGATTTCAAAAACGTTTTTTTCAAGGATCAGAAAATTGAAACTCACCTTCTTTTTTAGATGTTTTGCGCCTTGTCCGGCATTTCTTTGAGCTGAAAAACTCTCGTGTTCGGTCGTTTTGCCTCCCAAGAACGCACAAACGTTAATCGGACGGCATTTTTTCTTCACACCCCTGATTTCTCGCTGCTAAAGTCACAGCTCTCAAAGTAGTATGGGGAAAAGACACTTATAGGTGCAGCAAAGAGCCTGGAAGTGACCTTCCCCTGTGTTTCTCGGCGAGGGCGCCATTTTGCAAATGTGGGTGACGTCATCATATATCCAGATCTGGTAGTGGCCCGGACTGTTAAAAGTCATAAATATCAAGTACCTAAGAACTGCCAGAAAAATACTTAATTCCATCAGAAAATAATTCCCTATTTTTCTTCCCCTGACCTCTTTACTTTAGCTACGTTTTTGAGTTTCAGCTCACTTAATGCGTTCCACTTTAAAAGCCATTCTTAAAGCCAGGAACTCCCTAAATTAAGAGATTTCTAATATGCACGACCCATGCATTCTAAAAACGTAAATTAAACCCTTCATTCTTTCTCTTCAGAATTTACCCCCATGTATCATCACAGTCTTCGTCAAGATGTTTTTATAAAGGACGAGTACCATTATTTAAGCGTTTCTAAAGTTGGAACGTTTACAGTGTATGACAGCCTTGACTGCACCTTTGAATGCCTCGGCAATCCTTCCTGTCTGTCCTTCAACCTGGCAGCTTCCAAAGGAGCAGATGGAAATTTGCGGTGTGAGTTGTTATCCTCAGAAAAGTACAGCAGTCCTGAGGAATATAAAAGGAACGAGAGTTTTCATCACTTTTCCATCAAGGTGGGGTAAAATCTTTGCACAGAGTTTATTAAAGTAAGATATTTTTTGATATCCCAGTCTATGCGACTTTTAATAACCTGTCACGAACACTAATCGACGTAGAAGTGACTACTGCACGTAACAAGTCGGGGTTATTCAGTCGAATGTCACTTTCTCCTTTTTTTTTCTTACTTCTGCCATCAACACTTTTACGCAAAACGAAATTACCTTAATTATATGGCATTTCACATCAACCTTTTCTTAAACTATTTCAGACTCCATGTATGTCATCACCTTGTCAGAACGGAGGCACCTGTGTAGCGAACTATAAGTATCACTCGTTCGACTGCCGTTGCAAAGAAGGGTTCTATGGAGAATTTTGCGAAGAAGGTAATTGATATTTAGACCGGGACCCCCGTTCAAGTTAGGACAACCAAACTTAGCGGCTTTACCTAAAATTTATCTTGGAAAATTTTAAAGGCGTTGTGACGTGTACGTCAACATTGATGTTACCATGGCAACCGAGTTTTGACAGCCATGGTTTTCAGAATTTGCTTTTTCTCTAAACAAAATAGGTTTAAATTCATTTCTTTTTTAACTGATTGATTTATTACGTTATCTACTTCTTTTTTACAGTTGCCAAGTCCTCATGCCAAGATGTTTATAATCAGCTCACAGAAAAGTGGGTAAACCTATGCATAGTAATTTAATTGATGAGGATAGATCACTTAAAGTCCGGGGGATCATTCGGAGTGCGTCAGTACTGTGTTTATAAGCCAAAAATCAGCCGTCAGGCCTCAAAAACGGAATACAATTGTGTTGCAGGGAAAGTCGATATCACTTAATTAATTGTACATGTTAGAATTCGTATCGTGGCTGATGAATTCTATTTCAGCCTTTGTTCTCCACTCTGGAAACTTAGGGTTATTAGAGACCTAAACTTGTAAAAACTGTTGAATTTTTAAAACAAATGATTGGTACTGTTAAGATAATAAAAACCATAATCTGTGAACACCACCATCCTGCAATGAAGGCCCTCCAGCAAAAAAAGTTGTTGATGAAATGCGGTTGAATCCCGCCGTTTCGTTTAATACGAACACCCGTATAAAATGAATGATTCGTTTGTACCGACAAAAGTTCAGATATTTCAGTGCTCATAAGTAAACCTGGTTAATATGGAAAACAAACACTTTTCTTGTGTCCCGAGTCCCAAACTGTCATATAATAATTATCGTAAACTTCCCCGGAAGGTCCTCAATTAAGTTTTATAGGGGTCAACTCCTTACGTTTTAGCCCATCATTTTTGCAACTCCTTACGTTTTAGTGCCCATCATTTTTGCAGAAAAGGTACTCCTTTCGTATACCATTCCATTCGTCTCTAATGGTTAAAGGTTCGAGTGGCTTGTTGCAGGCACTTCATCCCCAGGGGGTACTCAACAAATTTTTACGGTGATAATCCCTGCCCCGAGGTCCACGTCCTTACCTTTTCACATACCTTTTGGCGGTTGAGGGGTGGAGTGGCTTGTTACAGGCATTTTAAAATGAGCTCAGACCATACAAGGGCCAATAGGAAGAAAGACTACCTTATCAAAATCAAACCTGCACGCTATTTTAATTGGAGTTTTTTTTTTTTAGTAACAAAATCGTATTAACCCACAGAAATCTGTAATTATTTGAAAAAGGTTCATTGTATGCAATTAGTGCGTGGTTGTGACAAGGAAATAGACCGTGGCAGCTATAGGTAGCCAGTGGTCACCAGTGTCCATAAAGCGGGGTTGACGACATGAGAATTTAAGTCTTCGGAACACAGAAAAGTGTCCGTTCTCCGTCTCAACCGTTGTCCTTATTAAACGGGTTGGAGAAAGTACGTGAGCTTCAATAATTAAAACATGCAAAACTGACTACTGAATATCTGTGTAACATGTTCTGAGTAGTTGTCAAGAAAAACCAATCCAAGTCTTACATGTAGCTCGCGGGTAAAACAGGGGTCCTTTGCCGTCAGATGGGAAAAACATCATGAGCACCTTTTTTGCGGTTTTTCGGTCGCCCCTTTCGCCTTCCCTCTGAACATCTGCTACGCTGTTTAGCCATCTTCGATGTCCGAATTTAATTGCTACAGAACACTTTAGTCAAATACACTTTATTAAAGTTAGGTGAAGAGCAGCACAGCTTGGTATTATAATGCAAAAATAAATATCAACCTGTGCTTGAGGTGAAATTATATCAGTCCAAAGTACATTAATCGTGTAGTAGCTCCTAGTAACATGATGGGGAACCTGACAAATTTAGATTTGACTGAGATTGTACTGAATTCCATTCATTTATTTTTTTTTTACAACCAGTTAAGGTACATTCCATTTTTTTCTCTCCGACAGTTGGGAGCTGGAAAAATTAAAATGAGATTTCATTTTGTACAGGTTGAACGTGAGTCGGTTGGTCACTCTCCTCCTTGACTCCAAACTAGTTTCAGTTCTCTGTCACTTTGGAAATTTTGGATGCGGAGATGGAGGATGGACACCGGTCATGAAGATGGACGGCAACAAGGTAAGACATTTGTGTACGTTTTCCCTTAGTTTGGCGACGAGAGTGGAAAAAAAAAAATAAATACAGGTTTGCCTCTGTCAGAGGTAATTTTCAACAGGGGCACCCAACGAGGATATAGTTCAAAACCACTTAACATAGCATTGTTGAACGTATTTTAGTATTCAAACGGTAGATATAGGCATATTTTTATCCCCTAAAAACGTTTCATCTGTTCGGATTTCCTAGCTGAAAATCTAGTTATCCGAAAATGATAGGGATAAAAACTTACCTTTTTATTCTATCGGTGACCATTAACGTCATTTTGCGTGCTGTGGCTAAATTGTCATTTTATAAAGCTGGAGAAGTGAGGACATTGCAGATATTCTTTTCATTGTAATGGATCTTTCATTCTTTCTTTTTTCTTCTCCTGAAAGGATGTTATCTTTAGAAGAAAAAAGAAGCTTAAATTTCAACTTTTCTTTTTAAAGGACATTTTTGCTATTTCTTCCTCCTTTCTACCACAGCAAACATTTCATTACGAAACAGCCTTTTGGAGAAACAAAGAAACCTTTCACCCTGACGGAGGGAAAACTGGGTTTGACTCACAGGAAACCAAACTTCCCTCCTACTGGAACACATCCTTCTCCAAGATATGCCTCGGTATGAAGATCAACAACCAGACCAATTTTATTGTCATTAACAAGCAGGCGAACTCCTTGTACTCTCTGATCGCTGATGGGCAATATCGCAGCACCTCACTGGGTCGTGACAAGTGGATGTCACTGATTGGTTCTAATGCCTCATTGCAGCTGAACTGTAAAAAGGAAGGGTTCAACGCAAAGTGTACCTTGATTGGCCGTTCCAAAGCAAGAATCGGTATTCTCGGCAACGATCAAACAGATTGCCATGAATGTAACTCCAGATTGGGGTTTGGGAGTGAAGGGAACTACGATGATAGGCGGAATACATGTGGAAATTTGGATAACCACAAAGGAAAAAGACTGAGCATCAAGACAATGGGGTATATCCTGGTGCAGTGATAACAATGCTCCTTTACATGTCTTTGAGCGAGTAGTGGGAATATGTTATACCCGAAGCATATAAGCCCGATTCGGGTTATATGCTTCTGATTCTTCACAGTCCCTTTAACGATACCTCATCGTTACGATGATGAGTAGAAATAAGTTTAGTTATAGACAAACATTATACACGTCTAGACCTAACGATTTTTTCTGTCGAGGCATGTGAACAGACAACCAGTGGGGATCATGTTTGTAATGTTTGTCCAAGAATGTTAAAGAGCGGTTCTTGGTGTGTATAAAAGTAGAAGTGCTCGGATAATTTGCTCTCCTATTCCTTGCCATTGAAACCTGTGGAATTGAAGAAACGTTTTTAACAAGAACTTAAATCTAAACGTTTCTCAATGTAAGAAAGCTACTTAAAAACGAAGAAATACATAATAATAAACTAATATAATAAACTTTATTTCTCAAACTGCGATCATATCCAGTGGTTGCACAAAAGACTGAATCAGATTTAAGGCAGCCAACCGGTCTGAGGGAGGCACTTTAGGACTGAGACTGTTGCTACACACAGATAGTCCGTTGGGAAGACTGATGTGTGATGGGTTGAAAGTGATAAAAGAGGCAGTGGCGATTCCCACCAACAAAGACACGTCCCCTACACTTTTCCTATAGTAATGTAGGTTGTTTAACCTCACCTTCAAATTTTAAAATACCGTATTTCCTCGAATAATAGCCGTCCCTCGATTAATCGCACCCCTCGAATCAATTACCCCTCTTAGACGGAAATATTGAAGACAGGCTCCTCCCTCGAATAAACGCCCACTCTCCACCTCTCTCGCCATCTTCTCTTTCTGTTATACCCTCCCGGTCAACTTGAAGTGGCGTCTGATCCAGCAGAATGATCAGTGACAATTCAATTAAGTTCTGATACCGAAGATATTGACACTGAAAATTAATCAAGGAACCAAATTTGGAACACTTAAAAAGACCATGTTCAGTTTTTCTGATGTGATCATTTTTCGATTTAATGGGATAATAAAACAAAAGGACACGACTTCCAAAATTTTGAATAATCGCCTCCCTCGAACAATCGCCTTGCCTCCTCGAATAATCGCCCCCGGCTATTATTCGAGGAATTATGATAAATGAGGGAGGGTGAAAATTAATGAGACGAGGCAAACGGCTTAATGACACCGCCAAATAATGCTGTCATCTAACCTAAGTCATGGTCACTATACACGGCCAGCATTATCTTGCCAGCATTTTGCTTATTATTAGCAAATCTGAGCTAACAGGCCGAGAAGTGGTTACATGCATGCATACAAGACAGCGAAGCAGGAAAGACGTGGGCGAGCGAGGAGCACCAGACGCGCGCGTGTCTCACGCCACTCGCACGAAAAACGCGAAAAACCAGTACCTGTTCTACAGGCTGATAATAAGAAAACAGGAAGAGGTACTGAGATTTTAGAAAAGAACAGGGACAGGGCGCTTTCTTTATAATGGGCTCGTGTTTGTAGCACCACTTCACAACCTTTGGAGATGTAGATGGATTCTGACAACACTAATAAGCGGTATACAAAAATAATGATACACGACGCAGACGTAGTATAGAGTGTTTTCACTAACGTGGCCAGCATCTATGCAAATTTATTAGAACAAAAGAAAGCGTTTGCATAAGAAAAGAGTTCAACTCCCACAGGACTGGTTTGGGACACCAACATGGCCGTCGTTTCATTGTTTTGGGACACCAATATGGCCGCCGTGACGTCATGTGAAAACACTCTATAGTAGTAAGGAGCATAAGCAAAGACCACGGCTACGAGCTCGAGAACGCCTCTTAATTAAAGGTGCATTCGCTCTGCCTCGAACGTTTTCGTGCTCATTCCATCTCGTTTATTTCGTTAAATGGTGGCAAATTGTTTTTGGAGTTGAATTCTAAAGGACTGTATCAAAGTTCAGGAAAAAAAAAGAAAGTTGTTGTCTTGTGTCCCCGTCTTCGACAAAACGTGAAATTAGACACTTTCACGTTATAGTCGTGTAACAACGATGCAAAGTTGTTGTTTTGCCAATCTAAACCTATTGCTCTTTTGCCTTTCTCGTTGCCGTCGCCGTCGTCGTTGCTTAACAGGCTTAAGCTCCCTAATGATGACTGCTTTTGTTTTTCGTTTTTGTAGAAATCAGAAAAAAAAAGTGTGAAAGTAATCAAGATCTGTAAGGGAGCGGGAGGGGGATTCTGCAGTCCCACATTCCCACTTCCGGGGTTTTTACGAAAATACCGCATCTCGCCATTTTTTCATCGCTTTTCCAAATCTCCTTGGTTGTTTCCAAAAAAAAACAATGTTTTAAGTAAGAATAATTGTTGCATTAGGCATCAAGTCGTTAACTGGCATGGTATGCTATTGCGCCACGCGCACTTCCCTAAGACCTTGCAATCATAAGACTCGCTATCATGCTGAATTTATATTAATAAATCGAAAGTGGCTAATTGAAACAATGGGTTTCCTGTTCGCGTTTGATTATTTTTATTAGTTTCAATTAGGAAATTATTAACCATTGGAAACCATGCACAACCTACAGATTAGTTAGTTAATTTTATCTGCTAATCTACCACCCAGTGCTAGCAGATAACTAACTGTACTTTGCCTTGATTTCCAAAATTAACTGTAGTGTCTTAAAAGCTTGGCCAAGGAGCAAATAGACGGTAAGTATAATGTCTAATAATTCAATTAAACAAAACAGGGTTAAAAGATCCCAACTGGCCGGCAAACCAGTTGGCTATTTACAAGCGTTATCGAGGATTAGAACTAGGCCACCGACAACGAGAATCCATCTAGAAATACTGTTGTTTCCAAGACAAAAACAGTTTTCCAAATTCTTAAAAATAATGGTAATTGTATTTTTGCTGCACAATATTGCACAGTCTTTCATTCTGGAAATTTTCGCTGAAATGATTCGAACCATTTCTACCTTCAAAAACTCATAAGTAATTCATAGCGAAAAACAAAAGAAATTTTATGTTTAACGAGTGTCTTTATATTCGATAAAGATGCGGTTAAACTGTACGTCCAAGTTTTTATAAGACCAAAATAACCCCAAATCTACGTATTAGTGAAAGAATCAGTTGATATATATCAGAGATTTTGAAGCCGTTCAAAATACTCGTGGAAGTGTATTACCAGGTGTAAAAACTCTCGGCTTCGCATCGAGTTTTTAAACCTGATGATACACTCCTGCTCGTTTTTTAAACTGTACGTAAAACCGTCATGTTAACCCAAGCGATTTAATTCAACGATATGGTTCATTTTTAATAAACATTTAAAAATCCTAATTTTACGTTTTATGGAGGATTTTAGTTGCTGAAAAACTCTATATTTTGCAAGAGCGGCGCAAATATCTGTCTTAAGTAAAATCCTACTAGTGGTCTGTCATCAATGCTGCGTTCTGATAGGTTGAGCTACTACTAGGCTATATGTTATAGCCCACCAGTAGCGAAAAGCGCCGGCTTTGAAAACCAAAACAATGGCGGCTGAATTGCGTTTTGCTAGGTAAAGTTGTTTTGTCTCTATACTTTTGACCAACTAGTTGGATTTTGCTAAAAACAATTATTGCTCTCGCCCTCGCCCTCATAGCCCATGAGGCCGAAGGCCGAATGGGCTATTGACTCAGAGCCCATTCGGGCTCGAGGAATAATTGTCAATTAGAAAGGGTGAGACTGGTTTTAGCTTAGCCGCATAAGATTGCATTAAACGCTCTTTCCTTTTCACTTATTTGAAGTCTTTTCGTGAGTTTATACATGATACTCGCTGTCAGTAAATTTTTCAAAATGCTGCACTTCAGCTACGATTTCTTAAATAAAGCTATTCTACTTCTCAAGGATTTTAAGAGACTCCTCAATTTTTTAACCAATTTTGCCGGCAAGAAAACGGGGTATACAATTAACCAAGATATAATTCTTTGGTGTTAGAAAGTATGGGTTCGAAGACGAGAGTGCAAAAAAAAAAAAATAAAAATTATGTTTTATAAACGTAAACACTATAACCTTTCTGCATGTGCGCACACAATTTTCCTTCTTCTCTGCCTTTCTTTTCAAGTCTGGAACTTCCTTCAAAGGGTGATATTTGAATACATGTCACCGAGACCAATAAGCAAACAAAGTTTCAGTATGGATTAATCAAGAGTTTAAATTTTGTATTAGAAACATAAAGGAAGACATATTTCTTGCAAAAAATACTAAGCATTGTTTAAGTTAAATTAGGACTTCTTTTCAAAGGGATTTCAATTCTGACGTTTCCCGCGTGTGACAATCCGTTAATTTGAGTAACGTTCCTTTGCTAATTACATACCAGTCACATACATACTTTATTGAGACTCCTTCAACAGGCGGCTTTTCAGTCACAATGTTAACTATTACATTATAATGGTAATTAAGAAAAAAACTTATTTACAGTAGTTTAATTAAATTCAAAATACATCCAAATCAATTTATTTCGTATGAAAGTGTCCGCTTAAAACTATCAATATCTTTATAGTGTTCTTAATATTGTCAGCTAGTCGATTCCATTCCCTTGGACCCCGAAAATAAAATGCCGTTTGTCCCATTGACAGTCTACATCGGGGGACCACAAAATTGTTACATCCCCTTGTGTTCTTGTTGTGAACTGCTTTTTTAAAAAAATATTTACCTAAATAATCTGGAGCTGAGCCATCTAATTGTTACACGGAACCTATTTTTACAGACTGATCAATGCATTTAACTTATTATCTCTTGCTGCTGAATATATAGAGGATATTTCAACACTCGAAGAGAAATTTCGTATCTCCAAGCGGCCATGTAATATCCTCTATATATTCAGCAGCAAGAGATAATAACTGAAATGCAATGATCAGTCTGTAAAATAGTTCCGTATACCAATTAGATGGCTTAGCTCCAGATTATTTACTGTAAATATTTTTTTTCAAGCGGCCATGCAATGTTCTATTTATTATATAAACACCAGTGAATTACAAAACCATTTCTTTCTGTGAAAGGCGCGATTTATTATGTAGCGAGAGCAACGGTGATTTTTCACGTGTGAAGATAACATGTTTATATTTTTCACATGTGAAGATATCATGTTTTCGCGCGAACGCTTACCTGGTATTTAAATGGTGGTTATATAATATACTAACTAGGGTATCTAAAAGATAGTAATGCTGCGGCACATTCTGTTGATACTGGCATTAGTTAGGCAGTGAGACTTAAAAGAATCGAAGATGACATTGAATGTCCTATGTACATGTTGGAAAGTACTAGAATAATTACTATCAGTCGATAGAAAGAACTCGTGGGAACGTTGTTTAGAGAATGATCAAGTGGTTATGAACTCTGGTTTTTCCACAGTAAATTGTAGGAAATGAAAGAAATTCAGATTGTTTATCCATATATTTAATAGAAAAGATTGTACGGTGTACTATCTTTTCTCTGGAAACACGATACTTTTCTTGATGTTTATTGCACTTTATTAAGTAACAGTTATTTAGCTATATATTTATAGAAAACAACAACACAAAAAACGAAAAAAAAAAAAGAAAGAAGGAAAAAAAGAATTTGGTAGGACTCGAACCCGGCACCATCACCTCGACGCGACTACACCTAACCACTACACCACAGAAACTGATTACGTAGATTCATGGATAATAATTATCCATGGTAGATTTGGGAAAAGTCTTTAATTTAATGCCTTTTCCATGAAACTTCCGCCGGCAAGATGATCGCCAGCCGCATTAATCGAGCTATTAACAGTAAAAAAACAATGTAAACGCATATTCCATGGCAATGAATGAATGAAAGAACATAATTTTGCTTTTCAAAACGCCAATACACGTCCTCGTCTCCAACGTAGGACACAAAACATATGTTTTGTTATCTCGATTTCCGCTGTTATTTTGAAGTCCAATCCCCAAGTTAACCATCGTACTCATCTGAAACACTCCTGCGTGTCTTAAATTTGGTAAGACCTCTAACCGTGCTGTAAAAAATTTGCTACAAAGAAAACTCTGAGTCTGGGCAGCGAACGATGCGAACTTCCCCGTGTTTTTATTTGAGTTGTTCGTGGCGCAATGCACTCTGGTTAAATGCAATGCATTGTGGTAAAAAGTGTGGTTAAATGCAATGCATTGTGGTAAAAAGTGATGAATTCGAGAATTCGTCGCCCCTTATATATTTCCCTTAAATCCTGATTATGTTGCTGCTCGCTCCCTACGGTCGCTCCGCAATAAATTCCATCCTGATATCCATGGAGAGTTGACATAAGCAACTTATGAATCGACACATACTCTCTCAGTTTGAAACTATCAATGATTTTCACCTGCTCAATTTTTTTGTATGGACACCTCAACCATTTATGAATTTTAGTCATGAAATTGTAACTATCTGGTAATGTGTATTTATGATAACGTTTTAGTGTTCGAGTGATATTTTGTAACTTTTAAGGCTGGACATTTTGAAAAATTGTTTTTTTAACAAACGCTACAATTGTGAAAACTTTTCGTTTATAGAATCGCATAATTAAGTAAAATCTCGCATTCTGATTGGTTAACGAAGCGAGGTATTTAGTGTGGAATTGCGAGTTGAAAACGAGGCTAAGCGATATTGTTTCGCATCTACGTAACAACTATCGTCAAATTCTAACACAACAACATGCAAAAAAGGTTTTCTACAATGTCATTTTAAAATGTTTTCAAAACCATTCATTGTCACTTTTTGAAGAGTTAAAAACAAACAAAAGCGTTTTTTAAAGTGAGCCGGAGGTTCTTCCTTGTTTTGAACTGAACTACAGATTCTCGAAGAGACATAAAACCTCTTTCACTCGCGACAACCAGAAAACAAGAAAATCCTGTGAACACGGCCCAGAAAATGGCAATCCAAAGTTCAACCAAGCAAAACGGAGAAGCGACAACGGAGGAAGTGCCGGGGTCGATTGTCCCATATACAGAAGAAGAAATAAATACCTTCAAAGACGACATGGCCCCTGAAAACACGAAAAAGAGTACGCCGCTTGCAATCGTCCTGAATCGTGGTACTTAGAAAAGTACAAAACAGAGCTGAACTTGAACAGCATTTCTAAAACATTTCAAAGGTACTTACCTTATGTCAATCGCGACGTTAAACATGTTAAACTTTCAGTGCTTTCGCTTGGACACTTGATTTCTTTCAGTTTTGCCGCCGAAGAGGTAAAAGGTGTAAATTATTTTCCTTCTCGAGCAAATGACCAATTTGAAAAAAGACGTTCTACATAAACGGCTTCTAAATTCAGTAAAATACCTCTATTTATCCTTACGATTAGTGTGAAGCTTGTTTACATGTAAAAAAGTTTGAAAACAAATGTGAAACCAAGCACAAGGTACAAAAAAAGTTGTCGAAGGTTCAATCGTGTACGACTGACCTTGCTTCCCTATTCGCTAACGCAATGACAGTTCTGACAGTTGACTTTGAAATGGCTTTCTGGAGCGCGCTCTCAGGATAAAAACAAACAATATTATTGCTGTTTTCTTTTTTTTCTTCTTATTTTTATTCAATTATGCGATTCAAGGAAAATTCATTACCTGACTCGAGAATTCCACGTTAAATTGCACTTGAAAATAATATCGCACTCATCGCTTCGCGATTCGTGCGATATCGGTTTTCGCGTGCAATTAACGTGGAATTCCCGTCAGGTAATGAATTTTCCTATAGAATATTACGTTAAGAGCAGCATTACATCAGAATATAGCTTAATTCCTTTCAGCTGCGAAATTAGACAGTGTGCATTTAGGAAAGTCTAATACAAACTTTATTTGAGAGTGACCGTCTATCAAATCATTTACGCTATCTTTGCTTTTGACAGAACACGTCACTGACAACGCACAAGTCAATCGAGCTCAAATTTATTAATAAATTTAGCGTGCTATTATTAACAATTACTATATTAGGGTTCCTTGCAAATTCTACCTAAGAAAACGCTCCTGTCAGACACACACCCTGTTGATGAAAAAAGGCGCTATGAGATTGCAGAGGTGGCCAGATAAAATAATTTGCTCACTCATATTCTGCTTCATCTTTGCAGCAGTTTTGGCGGCCAAAGAAGAATCTAGATCTTCCTACATAGTAGCCCAAGAGAACAAACGTTTACATGGCTATGCTGTAAAGAAAATCGATTCTACGGATGAAATGGCATGCAGTCAAGCTTGTTTAAGGCATTGTTTGTGTACTTCTTCTAACTTTAAAGAGTCCTCAGGCAATTGTGAACTGAACAAGCACGAGTTTTCAATAACTGCAGATGATGACACCAAGCTCACTGATAATACGGGCACAACGTTTTCAATGTTTCTTAAGGTGAGTCGAAGAGAAGTTTGTCAACAACGTACGCGATGTAATTAAGAACTGCGTTGAACTAAATTTTTAACTAATATACATCTGTTCTGTTGCAAAAAACAGTAAAGTTGAGTCTTGTTAGGATGCATTTATGAAAAATGGCATCCAAAGCGGGGATATGTCTTGTATTGTAATTGGAGTCAGCCATGTTCACTGCCTTTTGCTACCAGTTTCAATCCGCCGGACAATTTTTTAATGTTATTGACGGCTATGTATTCTTGCCTTCAGTTGGTTTACTTGTTATTAAATTACAGTTAAGAAAAATGTGCAGTGCAATTAAAAATACAAGGAGAGTTCGTCGAGTCTGTATGTGTAATTTATGGAAATTCTATTTTGGTTTCTAAGTTCAAAGTATATATTGTACAGATATATGATTTGCACTGCGCCTCGAAAAGTATCCTGAGAGATCAGTACGCACTGCAAGGATGACATGAATTTGAACGTTTTTGCCCTAAAACATTTGCTAGTGCAAAAAGCTGCAGGAAGTCGATGGAAAACAACTTTTGCTTACCCATGTAAAATGTGATTTTCTGCAGGGTTGTCTGATGGCTGGATGCCTCAATGGAGGTTCTTGTTTGTTCGACAAAAACAGAAGCTTTCGCTTGCTCGTGCAATCTGCAATGGAGTGGGGAAAATGTGAACTAGGTAAATTTTTAGTTTTTTTTTTTTGTCCCTTATAATAAATATAGAATAATGAAAGAGGTGTATTCTGTGCTAGCACCTGGTATCCCGAATTCCATGCAGGGAAACTCTAGGCCTCTGCTAACAGGGAAAGATGTGTACTGTTTGAAGCAAAATCACATTCACGTATTTGTCTGTATCTAGCAAATGTACTTTTCAGTGGTACAAAGAAAGTTAAACTGTTGACAGATTGCCAATTTAATGAACCTTCTACTCCGTGAAACTGGTATGTAGCATTAAGAGTTTACTTTTAATATTTTCTTAGCCTCAAATGTGGATCGTCCTGGAATCAGGTTCTTTAGTAGGAAGAAAAAAAGCGAATAATGGTGTAAACAGCCTGCTATTCGCCCTTTTTCTCCTCTAGGAAGCCTGATCTAAGCTAAGTCTGGAACTTCCATGTTTTTCTTGTGATTTTACGCTTTATTTCTCATGAAGTATAGGCTCCTGAAGGGTATATATGTCCAATGCATGGCTGTGGCCATTTTTAATTTTGGGTTCGCCATCTTGTGTTCCGGCCATTAGGCTCTAAAGCAAAAGCTTTCAGCCGACCTTGCATTTTTGGCGATTTTCTCCATTTGATGGATCTGTTTTTGTAGACATTGATGAATGCGCAAAAATACCCACTATTGCGGTGCCAATGCTTACTGCAATAATACCAAGGAGGATACAACTGCACTTGTCATCCGGGATATTACGGAGATGGAAAGAATTGTGAACCAGGTGAGATGGCAGACTTTGTATCAACTTGGAAGATTTTTGAAATGCTATATAAGAAGACAATACCGTTTAATCTGTGCGAAAAGTAGACAAGTTTATTTGGCCATTATTCTATGATGTTCAAACGTATTTTTATATAATAGTATGAACCCACATCTAACTGAAGACAGTAGGTCTTCTTTTCAAACAGAAAATGGTTGGGAAGGAATTTTTAATATTAAAGGTATCTTTCTAAAAGTATCATGCTGAAAGTAAAAATAAAAAAGTTCACAAACCATACGAGAATAAATTTTGAGACTTTCAGACCTCAGGTACTCACTGGACATGTTATAACGGACATACTTGTGGGCAAAATTCCAGACATCTCAACTGCCTTTGTAACGAGGGCTTTATTGGAGCATCTTGCCAAATAGTTAACAAAACAAGCGTTAACTAAAACTGAAAAAGTGCCCTTGTTTTAGCTTGAATATAGGACAATAACACTAGCAGGACTACTACTGAATTTGATCATTTTTTTCAGCGATCAAGTCATATCAAGACTGTCATCAAGAGAACCCAGACGAGAAGGTTACTTCTATTTTTCATAAAGGCCTTTTTTCATTCGAGTTGGTTTTAAACGACACCAACGCTTTAGTACCAGACAAGGTTGTGAAACTGTTTTTTTTTTTTTATGAAAATAGTGAAAACCTGCATGTTTTGACACCCTTAGGGAATGCTCTAGTGTCCTCCTAATACAGGTTTCACTGCAGCTGTTAACCAAAACGTGTCTTCTTTGTCTAGGAAAACACAGATGAATACAATTATCTTTGACTCAAAGCCAATATCCGTTCTCTGTCACATAGGAGATTTTGGATGTGGGGATGGAGGATGGACACCGGTCATAAAGATGGACGGCAACAAGGTACGAAGTAGCCCGTGTCAGGCTCTTAGATGGTAGGGACATCAGAGCCTCTGTATGGGTGTTTCCAACGACATCGAACGCGAATATCGCCATTGGTTGGGCTGAGCTTGCTAGTAGCGCTACCACACAAAAAATGCTCAATATGCGACGATTTCGTACTCGCCTGAAAAACGACGATTTGATGGAAAATGCGGGACAAAAATCGACGGCTGCAGGCACCCATGCAGAGGCTCACATCACCAAAATAGAACAGGCCAAGCGTTCTTATTCTGCGTTCAGTTCAGTTCAGTTTAGTTCATTTTATTTAGCCAAAATATAATACAATACAGGAATATACATAGAGATTGTGGGTTGACAAGGGAACACAGAAGAAAACCAGAACGCTTATGAAGCCTGGGCTCCCCAGTCACAAAGAAAAATGTATAACGAAATTCGCTGAGTGATAGGTTAAAAATAGGAAGTAGACAGAAACCGAGTTAAGTTATGAATTTAGTAACAAGAAATAGAAAAACGTTCTTAACTCTGGATTGGTAGGAATATAAGGAGGGGCATCGCGAATGTAATGTTGTACACATCAGTAAGTACTTGTTTCTCTCACAGCAAACTTTTGAATACAATTCTTCTTTCTGAGCAACAAAAAACTTTTAACCTTGACGGAGGGAAGTCTGGGTTTGACTCACAGGAGACCAAACTTCCCTCCTACTGGAACACATCCTTCTCCAAGATCTGCCTCGGTATGAAGATCGGTCAGCAGCCGGTCAAGTTTTTTTGTCATCAACAAGAAGGCGAACTCCTTGTACTCTTTGATCGCTGATGGGTATTACCACGCCACCTCACTGGGTCGTGACACGTGGAAGTCACTGATTGGTTCTGATGCCTCCTTGCAGCACAAATGTAACAAGGAAGGACTCAATGCTGCTTGTAAAATGGAAACTTCCAAAGCCAGGATCGGTATCATTAGTAACAACGGAGACAATTGCGGGTCCTGTAACTCTAGAATTGGGTTTGGTACTGGAGGAGATCCTGATAAAACCAACTCATGTGGAAACGAAGCTGTTGATTCTCCAGGCAATGGTCAAAAACATATTAAGGCGATGGGATATATTTTGTGCAGTGAAAGGAAACTGATCTAAGGAGCGTGAATTAAAATTGAATGTACAAGCCGTGAATACTGTAGAAACTCCGATCCTTATAAACACGACTGTCGGTAAATTATGTGTAGGTGAACATCAACATGATTTGCAGCCAAAATCAGTGATTCGTAATTTCCACAGCAATCGGGTTCATCGGGTTAAGAGAGGGAGTCACTTTCACGATATGTAAAATTTATAAGGGTCATTTCTAAAAAGCTGAGATCCAGGAAGGGTTCGGTTTGAAAATCTTCTTATTTTAGCCTTCTCATACTTCTCAAAATGGCCGCTTCCCCACCTCACAGGTAATAAACGACCAGCCCTTAAATTAACTCGAGATCCTGTTCATTTTTTTTGTAGATAAACAATAATAGGTCATTTCTAGATTGGATTAAAGTAACCATTATGCATACGAAATAAAAGATACACTGGAAAACCAAGATAAAAATCTTTAACTAAGTTTCTCCATTGCTCCTCATAGTTTATGCGCACAACATTTCATGTTGAGATTGTATGTCACTAAGTGGGCTGTAAAGGTTTTAGACAGAGATAGTCTTTCTCAAATTGTGATCAATCATGGTTCCAGAGGAGGCTGAATCAGGTTTGCACCACGCAGTAAGGTAAAATTGGCCAGGTAACTTTACAGCTGATACGGCTGCTGCACGGATGCGTAGACAATCTGCGAAGAACACGTTTGATGTGTGAGGTGATAAAGTGTGATAAGAGAGGGAAAGGCAGACTTCACATCAGTGAAACATTTCCGACATTTTTTTGAACAGGAATATGGGTTATTGTTGGTTTTATTTTTTTTGAGAGAGAAGGATGAATGGCGGCAACTCATGGACACGAACGAAAAAAAAGGGCGATTATTTGAAATGAGACAAGATCATTACACAGCCATATTATCTTACCAGGTTTTTAAAGAGCCTTTGTTAGTGTCAGCCTCAGTCCCCAGGCGTTCTCTCTTGATCCGTTGTCCGCATGAAGTCTCGGTGACGTCACAGCATGGTAGAGTCCAGGAACGACCGAGCGGAAAACACCTGGGGACTAGGCTGGGTTAGTGTTTTGTCCTGGATTTAAACTGGGGCTCTCGCTCAGCAAGTCTGAGCCCGGAACCGACCGAGCAGTGGTTACAGGCATGCATATTAATGAGATGACTTTTTTTTTTTGGTTCAAAACAAACGGTAAGGACACAGACATGCGTGCTGGGATGTTAAAAATAACAGGGACAGTGCTAATTCAGGTAAATTCTGAAGATGAATCTGATGATGTCTACCACGGCACAGGTTGTCGAAACGTCAGTCATTGTCAACAACGGTCCTACGATCACCCCGACGATCATTCTCAACCTACTTTTGAAAAACTTTTGAGACTCGATTTTGAAGTGACTCCTGGGTTCAAACCGAGCCTCGATTTCCAGTCGCTGTTCTAAAACGAGCCAAAGCTCCTCCACCAGACATAATTAAAACTGCAGCTTTTGTTCTTCATTATTTGGCAGGATTCTCCTTTTTTAATGTTTTCCTGTCAGCAATAATGCCTGAGTAACTGAGACAGCTTATATACCAGCTAGATTGGTTTTGCATGATTATCTTCCCTCGCTACTGTGCAAGTCGCTATTTATTTTCAACCATTTTTTTTCCTTAGCGCAGCAACCTTAGCTTGTGACACAGCAAGCGGAATTTATCAGTGCCTTGTATTCAGGGACCCGCGGAGACCATTTTAAAGTGGTGGGGCTATATAAATCTGGCCAATACAAAAGAAACATTTAGTTCAGTGTTTCGCAATTTTAGTAAAATCCAACTAGTGGTCTATTATCAGTGCTGCGTTCTGATTGGTTGAGCTACTACTAGGCTATATGTTATAGCCCACTAGTAACAACCGGCCTTGGAAACCAAAACAGTGGTGGCTTAATCATGATTTGCTAGCTAAAAGTTGTTTTGTCTCGATAGTTATGACCAACTAGTTACGTTTAATTTATGTTTTTTTGCAATTGAGTCAGAGCCCATTCGGGACTCGAGAATAATGCATTTTTATCTCGCATTTGCACGCCATCTTATTTACAACCTCCTTGAATATAAAATCAGATCAGCTGTAACATAAACGTCGTCACATGTTATAGTATCCAGTGTAATAATATGTTCAATAAACCTTCCTAAGATTGTTACTTTTTGAGTTGCCAGGCCGCAGCCGAAAGTTTCTATTGTGGTTCTCATGATCATACGGGAAACAAACCCCTGTGGGCGACGTCAGCTGTGGTGGCACTGCTGTTCTCCGCTTGTGACCCGGCACTGTTAGGTTGCTAAATCTTTCATTACCCATCCTGGACCGAAACCACGTCTTCAGACGCCGTGCAGATAAGGATGAACCTCGCCAGCGGCGATGGTAGCGGATTTACAGCAAGCAGCCTACACTAACAGATAGTTTGGACCTCCTGATTTAGCTTCTTTTCTGGTTCTGGAAACTTTTAACACCGCCAAACAGGATTTAGGTCAAACATGATATCTTCTCCTCCTTCTCCTCCTTCTTCTCCTCCTCAGCCATCTTAGTACCCTCAGATCCTTAAATAGATTATCAGTGTGGGAATAAAACCGCTCCAAGATGCAAAGCAAAGAAAAAGTCAAATCAAAACCATTTGGGCCTTACTTCTTATTATCCTTGCACGCACATCGGATTGTAATCATTCGGACAAGCAAACATTCCACTCTTCAATATGGAAAAGTCCACTTAGTGAATAATTTCACGGGAATTTTTTCCATGTCACCATTCACTGCAGCACTAGGAAAATCCAGCAATAAAGTGGTAGGGCTATATAGCCCTACCAGCCCTCCGCGGTCCCTGGTATTCTATGCATTATTACTACAAACAATCAGTCGGCTGATTACAAAGGACCCTGTTCGTCTGAACAAATATCTTAGGACTGAAAAAGCATTCCCGTTGATACATAAAGATCGAATTTGATTCGCAAAA